GATGTGAACGTGTTTGAGAAGATTGCTAATTTTGAAACAACAAAGGCTGCGTGGGGCACACTTGTAAGATGTTACGGTGGTGACGCATCAGTGAAGAAGGTGAAGCTTCAGTCTCTCAGAAAACAATATGAGAATTTCAACATGAAGGACAACGAGAAGGTTTCTGAGTACATCTCTAGAGTGATTCTGATCACTAATGAGATGAAATCTTATGGAGAAACTCTTTTTGAACAAGTAACCATTGAGAAGATCTTGAGATCTTTAACTTCCTATTTTGATTAAATTATGGCAGAAATTGGACATTCCAAAGATCTGAGCACCATGAGAGTTGAAGAGCTACAAAGTAGTCTAGAGGCGCATGAGTTGCGTATGACTGCGAGAACTTCTAAGAGGGAAGTAGAGCAGCAGACTCTGAAAGTAACTTCTAGTAAGAAGTATCAAAAGAAGACTTGGTCAGAAGCCAAGAAGAAAACTAATGGTGGTAAAAGGTCATAAGCTTTAAACTCTAATAGGAAGAAGAATGTATAAAAGGGAAAGGAGAAGTCTGACAAAAAGAATGTTCAGTGTTATTGTTGCAAGAACTTTGGTCACTATGCCAAATACTGTTGGTCAAACAAAGAAAGGAAGTCAAAAGAAGAAAATATAGCCAGAGGAGAGTCTGATGATGAACCTGTGCTATTGTTGGCTTCTAAACCTGATGATTTGAATTCATCAGAATGGTGGTATATGGACACAGGGTGTTCAAACCATCTTACTGGAAATAAGAAATGGTTGGTTGATTTTGACTTTGGGAAGTGTACAAAGATTAGATGTGCTGATGATAAATACCTCAATGTAGAAGGTATGGGAAATGTCATAATCATTCTAAACAATGGGATATCAACAATGATCTAGAATGTATGATATACACCTGACATGAAAAGAAATCTGATGAGTGTGGGATAACTGATTGAGAAAGGTTTTTCGGTTACCATAAAGGACAATCTTCTGAAGCTGTATGACTGTAATCAGAACCTGATTATAGAGTCAGAACACGAAAGGAACAGAACATTCAAGGTGAATGTTAGAACTACAGACTCTGAATGCCTTAGTGCAACAAGTGTTGTCAAGCAGAGTGAGTTATGGCACAAAAGATTTGGTCATCTGAATTTCAGAAGCTTAGGGCATCTAAAATAAAAAAGCTGGTACATGGAATTCCTATAATCAAAAAGCCTGAGAAGTCATGTGAGGTGTGCATGGAAGGGAAGAAACCAAGATTACCATTTGCATCAGAAGTAGCTCTAAGAGCAAAGCATGCCTTTGGAGTAGTGCATTCTGATGTGTGCGGTCCATTTCCAATAGCATCGATTGGAGGTAATAAATATTTTATGTCATTTGTTGATGAGTTCACCAGAATGACATGGGTATCTCTCATAAAGTTCAAACACGAGGTGTTTTCTGAATTCAAGAAGTTCAGACTGAAGGTTGAGAATCAGAGTGGCCAGACTTTGAAGATTCTTAGAACTGATGGTGGTGGTGAGTATAACTCCACAGAATTTAGAAGGTTATGTGAGGAGAATGGAATTGAGCATGAGGTTACTGCTCCCTATACTCCTCAACACAGTGGTCTTGCTGAAATAAGAAACTATACTTTGCTTGATATGGTGAAAAGCATGCTGAAAGAGAAGAAGTTTCCTCATACTCTATGGGAAGAAGCTGTTGCCACTGCATGTTATATGCTCGATAGATGTCCAACAAATAAATTGAAGGAAATAGTTCCTATTCAAAAGTGGACTGGAGATAAGCAAAGTGTTAGTCATCTGAAGGTATTTGGTTTTGTATGTTACAAACATGTCCCAGAAAGCCATAAGACAGAAGTTGGATGATAGAAGTAAAGTAATATTACTGGTGGAGTACCACAGTACAAGTTTGTACAAACTTTATTGTCCAGAAACTAACAAAGTTAAGTTCAGCAGAGACGTCATTGTAAAAGAATCAAAAGTTTGGAATTGGGAAAGGTCTCGTCCTGACTCTGATGAGAGAACTCCTGAAGAAAAGTCAGAAACACATGTTTCTGAAGCTGGTAAAGACTCTGACTCTGAAGAAGATATAAAAGGAGAAGATGGTCCTGATTCTGACTCCGATGGTGATCCAGACTCTGAAGACAGCCAAGGTTCTGGAGAAAGTCCAATTTCTGAAGCAAGTGCTTCTGAAGGGTAAAGTTCTGGTGTCTAAAGTTCTGAAGGTCCAGTTTAGAGGCAACAAAGAGTCAGAAGCATCCCAAGAAGATTTTCAGAGTTTGACATGTTACAAGACACTGAAGTAGACTCTAAAGGAGAAGTTATTCAGTGTGCAATGTTAGTAGACTCTGAACTCGTGAGTACGAAAGAGGCTCTTAAGCAGCAAGTTTGGTTACAAGCCATGAAAGAAGAACTTAATGCTATAGAGAGAAATAAAACTTGGAAGCTGACCGAACTTCCAAAAGCCAAGAAAGCCATCAACGTCAGATGGGTTTTCAAGTAGAAGCTAAAGTCAGATGGATCAATTGGAAAACACAAAGCAAGATTAGTAGCAAGAGGCTTTCTACAGAAGCCTGAGCTGGATTACTTTAAAGTGTTTGCACCTCTAGCGAGACATGAAACAATCAGACTAGTGATTGCAATAGTTGCTAACATGAATTGGCCTCTGATGCATTTAGATGTAAAATTTGTATTTCTGAATGGTCCATTACAAGAAGAGGTGTACGTATCATAACCTCCTGGATTTGAGAAAAAGAATCAGGAAGGGATGGTGTTCAAATTACACAAAGCCTTATATGGATTGAAGCAAGCGCCTAGAGCTTGAAATTTGAAGATTGATTCTTTTTTCAAGGAACAAGGGTTTCAGAAGTGTGAGATGGAGTATGGTGTTTATATTCAACACACTTCAGAAGGTAATATAATTATGGTTTGTTTGTATGTTGATGACATATAACTCACAAGAAGTTCTGAATAAGAGATATATGAGTTCAAGAAAGTTCTGATGAATGCGTTTGAGATGACAGATCTTGGGAAAGTGAGTTTCTTTTTAGGGATGAAGTTTATATATTCTGAGAAAGGAATCATTTTGCATCAGATGAAATATGAACTTGAGCTTCTGAAGAGATTTAAGCTAGAAAATTCCAAGGTTTCTATCACACATGCTGATATGAATCAGAAGTTTGACTCTGATTCCGATGGAGAAGATGTGGATGCTACAACTTTCAAACAGATGGTTGGTTCTCTAAGGTATTTGTGTAATATCAGACCTAATATTTGTTATGCAGTTGGAATGGTTAGAAGATTTATGAGTAAATCAAAGTGGTCTCATTACCAAGCTGTTGTCAGGATTCTGAGGTATGTGAAGGGAACTCTGAAGTACGGAGTGTTATTTCCGTCTGGAAAAAAGATTGAATCAGAACTTCTGAGTTATTCAGACTCTAATTGGTATGGAGATAGAGTTGACAGAAGAAGTACTTCTGGGTACTTATTCAAATTTTCGGGAGATCCTATTTCTTGGTGTTTCAAGAAGCAACTTGTTGTTGCGCTGTCAACCTATGAAGCTGGATATATTGCAGACGCTCTGACTGCATGCCAAGCTGTGTGGATTCTGAACTTGCTGCAAGATCTGAAGATTGAGGTAAATAAACCTCTGAAGCTGATGATTGATAATAAGTATGCAATCAATCTTGCCAAGAACCTAGTACTGCATGAGAGAAGAAACCATATTGAGACCAAATATCACTTTCTGAGGAATCATGTTCATAGTGGAATATTAGAAGTTGTGCACTGTAGCACCCAGAAGCAGCTGTCAGATGTTCTAACAAAGGCTATCAAGACTGATCAATTTCTTTGTTTGAGGGATGAAATTAGTGTTGTTAGTTTTGGGTAAATATAAATTAAGGGATGGTGTTAGAATTAATTTATATTTTAGGAATATCTTTTTAGATCTTTTTATATCTTTGTTAGAGGATATTTAGGATTTTATTATACCCTAATTTTGTGTATAAATAGCCTAGTGAGGTAGGTCAATATAATTTATTGTAAATCATTATTCCTTATTTTTGTAGCCGTTATTAAATATATTTCTTTTATCTTTCATCTCTTCTTTATGCACCAACAGATCATATATCATACACAAAATTAGAGGGTGTGATTCAGAGTGAAGGTTATGCAAATAAAAAGTGCTTGTGGTATTGAAATCATGCATATAGATTTTCCCGTGTTCTTAGATCCTTTAACAATGATCAAGATGTACTAAAATTTTTAAAAGATGTTCTAGGCTATATTGTAATAGATGTATATGTGGAGCGTCTTCAATAATTGAATATGATAATGTGTTTTTCACGATTTAAATGTTTGAAGAAAAAGATGAAGTTCTGAAATAGACTTGAAGGAGTGAAGAAGACAGTGAACATAGCCGAAAACATGAAAAAAATGAAGACAATACGAAGCTTTGTTTTTTCATATTTATAAAACATTTAAAAATTATTTTCTTTAATTAAAAAATATTTATAATATTTTTTTAATTTAAATATTCATTTAAATTTAAAAAAATTGAAAATTACTACATGGATCAAAGGCAAATTATATATATATATATATATATATATATATATATATATATATATATATATATATATATATATATATATATATATATATATATATATATATATTCCTCTCATAAATAAAGATGATATATAAATAAAATTAAAAAGGGATCACAAAAATTCAAAAGACCATCAAAACTAAAAATCATAATAAATGTTTTTGTAATAGAGGATTAATTATTTAAAACGCTTAAAGAAGATGATATATAATACATTTAAACTTGTATATTATTTTTCTCTTTATTTTTTAATTTAAAAAAAAACCAAATTCCTAAAATATAACTTGTGTAAGAACAAGCAAGAGAACGACTTCATTTCTCAGCTTAAAAAAAAAAGCGCCATACTATTTCCCAGCTTCCGATCAAATCGAATGCACCAAAAACCAATAACCATGTTATGGACTACTGTTGCTCTCGCCGTTGCTCGGAACAAAACCGTCCGGCACAATCTCACTCTCCGCCGCCGCCGCAACTTCTCCACTACAGGTCTCTACGGTATCCCTCACTTGAAATCCCCAAACGGATTCCAATGTTTCGTAGATGAAGCAATTCAAAGGTATTCAATTTATTCACTCATTACTTCTTCTTCTTCTTAACCTTTTCTGTTCTATTCTTCATATTCTGTTTTCGTTTTCAGGTCTGGTGAACTCGTTAATTACATTTCTACCAAACCCTCAGCTTCCGAAATCATGCGAGCAATGGACGAGATTTCCGATACTGTAACTAACCGTTTTTATTCATTATTACTGCATGTTTCTTTTGAATTGTCGCTTTTCTTCTTTGAAAAGTTGTTCTTATTTATCTTAATTATTTTTTCTTGTAGAGTTGAGTTTGGTAGAATTGATTTTAATAGAATTGAGTTTAGTAGAATTGATTTATGTTTGGATACATTTATGTAAAAGTGAGTTGAATAATAAATTTCAGTGTAAAAACCATCCAGAATCAATTCTGAAGGTAGAAGCTACAAATTTTAGCTTCAAGTAGAATCAATTCTAGAGACATAATCAATTCTACTTTTAACAAACAAAACACTTCAAAATCATTCAGAATCAATTTTACATCTCCAGAATTGATTCTGGATCTTGTAGAACTGGAACCAAACATCTTATAGCTTATGTTTGGTTCTGCGGTGAACACAATGATATTGAGTGAATTGTTTTGTAAAATCGATTCCAGTAATTTATATTTGGATAACGTTAAATTCAAAAGCTTAAGTTGCAAATTTTAACTTCTAGTAGAATCAATTCTACTATAGAAGAACCAAACACCTTAAAATCATTCCAAAATTAATTCCACACCTCTAGAATTGTTTGTGACTCTGCCAAAAGTTAAACCAAAGATACACTTACACTTACATTAATTAAGAGAGTTTTTCTTATAGAAATATAATTAGGAGAGTGTAAGTGAGGTAGTGAAAAGTAAGATTATAGTTGAAATTTGTTCATTAGGTTGATTAGTACAAAGCAAGCCTAAGAGACATGTATATCTGAAGTAGAGTAGTATTTTTATTGTAGTCGTTACTATACATTCTGTTTGTTTAAATTTTTTTTAAACAAAATAATTACTGTAAATGGTTTAAGGCTCATTGTTACAGCTTTTTTAAAGAAGAAAATGAGTATTTGAAATAAAAATCTGAAATCTGCTTCAAATGAGAAGCTGTTTTGAGTAGTTTTTCTAGACAATCATTTTTGGTGACGTATTTGTTTTTATAAAGTGATTTTCATTACGGTGATTAACACAAAATAGCTTCTGCGTATTTTAATAATCTTTAAATATTAATCTCTAAAGTATTTAAACTCTTTTTTCCCATTGTGTTTCAAATACTTATGGTTTTTTGTTTTTGATTTTACAGGTTTGTTCTGTTGTTGACTCTGCTGAATTGTGTAGGCAAACTCATCCAAACAGGTCCTTTTTTATTTTTGTAAAATTTATTAGTATAATTTATGTAATTCTTTTGGAATAAAGACTTAAACTAATGTTGGAAAAAAAACACAGATCTATTTGGTCCCTGAGAAATAAAGTGTTAATTTGGTCATTCAAAGTCTCATTTTCGATCAAATTAATCATTTTAGGATGATTTTAAGGGATACTTTAGTTCCTGTCAGAGACCATTTTGACTCTCATTTGAGATTTTAAAGGACCAATGCCAAACTCTTCATTTCTTAAGCGAAGCAACTCTGATTGTTTCTTTTTACTTAATTTATGTTTGTGTTTCCTTGTGTAGTGATTAACTTATAACTCATATTTCTTTCTTATGTGATAAATCAGGGAGTTTGTTGAGGAGGCTGACAAGGCATCAATGAAAATTAATGAATATCTACATGTGAGGTGACCCGTGATTGATTTGTGTCAGAGATTTTTTCATTTATTTGTATAACCAGATAAGTTTGAGTTGATTAAATTCTGAAACTTAAAAATTGAATCAAAATTATAATAAATTTAGAAGATAAGGAGGAAAAGGGGGCACAAACTCTAAAATAGAATATCAAATCATGTAAAAACTGAAAGTTATGTAAATGTCTAATGAGTATTTCCTATGTTTGCTTTTTAGTATCTGAACACAAGTCATGATATCTATGATGCGGTGAAGAAAGCCGAGCAAGAATGTCATATGCTTTCTGAGGAAACTCAGAGGGGAGTTAAAAGTTTACGAGTTGACATGGAAAGGGGCGGAATTCATCTTTGCCCTGGTAACCATATTTCTCACAGTACCATGCTATATTCTCAAAGACAATTTCGGGAACCTTTTTCCTTTGAAATCTTTTTTTATGTGAATCTCTTTATTTGCAGAGAAATTAGATCGAGTAAACAAGCTAGATATTGAAATTTCTCATCTATGCAGAAAGTAAGTATGTTTATAACTGATATTTGTGAATTGGTTGATGTTTATTTTTCCTGTTTAAAAATGAATAATTCGTTTTAATTAGAAGCGGTATGTTTCTCAAATTTCTATTATTTTTGTTTCTTTGGTATCTGTGGGTAAACAGATTCCAATGCCATGTAGATAAAACATGTCCTTTAAAGCTACACAGTAAATGAAAAAAGGATTACATCATTATGCAAAGCGTATTGGCTGGCTTTTCAAGCAAGACAAAAAAGAGAATTGAATTTTATTCGGTGACAGTATTGCTTTTGCTGTCAACTAATTCGACATGAGTTGATAACAATTTGAACTGTTTCCATCTGTGATACAAATTTAGTTGTTGCATCATTATTCATTACTGTTGCTCCCAAAAGCAAGTTGTAACATAATTGAAGTAGGTCTGCTTTTGCTGTGCTCTTGATCTGTTTGCATTTTCTTTTCTGACTTGATTAGGTACAATGAATATATTATCATCGACCCAGGAACTGTTGATATATATCCTCCAACTCGCTTCCCCAAAAATTTGCATCATCTTGTCAAGCCTATCTATAAACCAAAACCTTCACCAACTAAGGATTTATTAGGGTCCAATGATACTCTTAAAGAGAAAGGATTTCGAATTACAACAGATCCACGAACTCTTGATTCTGTGCTGCAGTTGTCGTCAGATGATGAGGTAGATTCCGTTCAACAATTTGAAAATTTATTTTCACATGTTAATTCTTGTAAGAAGCATTAAGGATTAAGCATAAGTATTGTTGAGGAGTTTCATGTAAATTAAAGTGAATAAGAAAAGCATTTGGAACCAGGGTTTGGATTCTTTTTAGTACTATTTCAATAACAGGATTTGGCCGTGTAGAAGAGAGAAAAATGAAAATAGTGAAAGTATATTGGTTTTTCAGTTCAAAGGTATTTTTGTCTTTTAAAAATATTAACATTTTTGTCTTCTTACTTTCTATCCAATTAAACAATGGGAAGGAGAAAGACACTTCTCATCTCACAACTAATTGGTGTTAGAGTAGTGATGAATGTTGTAGGTTAGCTCAAACAAGCCTAAACCATAAACTCATAATTTATTTTTCCACTTTGACCTTGAATTGATATTTTGCTCTGTGTTTGAAGATAAGGAAAATGGTATATATACGCGGAAATTCTGTTCCACATGCAAATGTTGATGTCCTACAGAGGCTTATATCTGCTCGACATGAGCAAGCTCAGGTCTGAATATTTTGCACCCTGACTCTTTTAAAGCTCGTTGTTTAGCGCTGTAGCAAAAGGGTCTTTACTGTCTGTTTTATTCATTCTTTGTTTCTGTTTGGAATACATGATTTCTAGAACCCAATCATATATTACTATATGGCTATAGCTATGCACAAACATTTGATATTTTCTGTTTTATCCCTTTTATTTACGCTAAAAGAATAAAAAAGGATATGTTTTCCTCTAAAAGATACAAAACAATGAATGCTGATACAACTCTGACGATAAAGTCAGTGGCGGTTGTAAGTGTGAGGTGTAGGGTTTTAGAATAGTGTGTACTGGAGACCGAGTCCTCTTTTTGACTTTATAGTTAGGGTTTAGGGCCTAGAGGCCCTAAAACCTTCTGTGAGACAGCTGACTCAGAGGACAAGTATCTTGAGATTCATAATATGGCATATGTAATTTTCGTGAGCTAGACAAGTTAATAGGCGGTCGATGCCATATTGTGATCTTACATTTGACCTTGTCTTTTTTACATTTTTACATTTGTTTTGAATTTGACCTTGATAATAACAAACTAATTATTGGATTTACAATAAAACGAACCTGAGGAGTCAAGAGTCCGCATTTTTTTTATCAGCATTAGAAGAAAAATGAACCAACTCTACTAAAAACAAAAGAACCTGTAACTCACTTACCTAATTTGACATTTGTTTTAAGAATTATAAGTAGGTTGGAGGATTTGATCAAAATCTTGATAGAGTGCCATTTATGTTGACTTAATAGTTTTCTCTGGTATTTTTTAGCAAAGCTTATTGCGTCTTCTATTTAGACTTTATTACTGATTGATTTTACCATTTGATAATTTGGTCCAGATAATGGGGTGTGGCTCTTATGCTGAACTTGCTGTTAAGCCCAACATGGCTTCATCGCCGAAAGTTGTAATGTCTTTCTTACTTGAAATGGGCAAGATGGTTCAGGCAAAGTCTACAGAGGTATAGAATGTAGATTCCTGTTAGGAAATTTCTTGGGAGAAAAGGTACTATAGCCATAGTGGCTTGTGCTTATAACTGAAAATATGATTTTATCTTTTCTGTACAATCTTAGGAGCTCAAGCTACTTACAAAATTCAAGAGAAAGAAATGTGGTCAGAATAGTGAAGACTTAAGGCCGTGGGATGAAGCCTATTATACGACATTGATGAAATCTTCTGTTTATAAACTGGATTCTTCGGTACAATGAGATAAACCTGATCATTTTTTCATCATTAATACACCCAAGTTTGTTTTTAACAGAAATGCAAAAACACGTCTGCAGGTCGTAGCATCATATTTTTCTTTGTCAAACTGCATTGAGGGTTTGAAGGTTCTAGTGAAGTCATTGTTTGGTGTAATCTGTCACAAAATCCCTCTTGCACCTGGTGAATCTTGGGATCCACAAGTGCTTAAACTGTGTCTTCATCATCCTGACGAGGTATTTAGTGTAGAAATCTGTGACTTGAAGTGAATTTGGATCCAACGGATAAAACTTTAAAGTGTTGGGATAGAAATTTTTTTAATTCAGCAATGATTTTCTGTAGTTTTATTTTTATATAAAATTCATATCTTTGACTATGAATTCAATATTGAATTTTGGTGCTACGAATTATCTTTTTTTATATGTAGTACCAATAATCTGATCCCCTACATTTAATTTCAATTGTCAGTGATGATTAATATCAACACTGTTATGCTTTTACTTATTCAGTTTAAAGCACTGAGGCTCAAACTTATTTCAGGGTGACTTGGGATATCTCTACCTTGATTTGTACTCCAGAAAGGGAAAGTATCCTGGCTGTGCTCATTTTGCAATTAAAGGTGGTCGCAGGATTTCTCAAACAGAATACCAGCTTCCTGTATGTGAAAATTTCTTCATGCCCTTGTGGCTTTTTTTTATCGTTCAAATATGCACTGCCTTTTGACATGAGTTTTGATAACAATGTATATTAGAGAAAATACAAGAGATACATCCCCAGGTAGAAAAACATGGTTTTAGAAAGAGAGGAAAAAAAGAGAGCATTTCATTCATTAAGGTGCTTGTGACAAGTGACAACGATGCTTTCAATTACATTAGTACATTCTTCTATCAAAATTTGGTTTGGCATTGAGAGGCTGATTTAGCTAAACCATTGGATGCAGAATTTCCTTTTCTTCCAACATAAAAGTATCCAACAACATTAAAGTGGGCTTCTTAACACAAGTAGTCAAATAGAAACTGAGCGTGTGGGTATTAAGAGAGGAGCTTTCTCTAAAATACACAATGGCATTTTTCGCCTCAAACTCAAAAATACATCTGTTAAGACAAGAGTTCAAAGTGCTTAGATAGTAATTATTCTTTGATAACTGTTGATATATATTCCCTATCTCATTTGAGTTGCACACAATTCTTAAAAAATAATTAGTTGTGTTGTTTTCAATAATAAAATAAGTTTTACTTACTAAAATTTTCTAAAAGAACCAACTTTTTGAGACAAATAAAAAGCTTAAAGGATCAATGATTTGGGACTGAGTGAGGGAGTATTGTTCAATAAATTGGTTTTTCTTCCCAATATGGTTTTTTACAAACATCAGTGCTCATCGAAACACACTTCACTGGTTTAATTGCTCTGTAACTTTATTTACTCCCGCAGTAAACTGTTTCTTGATTCTGATGATTTTGTAGATTGTAGCTCTTGTTTGTAATTTTTCAGGTTCACGTAATCCGTCAGCGGTAAGGCTTAATCATTGGGAAGTGGAAACCTTATTTCACGAGTTTGGACATGCTCTTCATTCACTGCTTTCAAGAACGGTATTCTCTTGAATTTTTCATCAGCAAATTTTAGATTTACAAAATGAGGACAAGGCTATATAAAGTAGTCGAGCCATAATGGCTTGTACACATGGTATCCATCTCTTCCCTATCGAGTGGGTAGATACTCTAGGAAACATAAACACACACGACTATCTCTATTAGACTTTTTATAGAACACTTGAAACATGTCAGTTATGAGTATATGTAACATATAGCAGCCAAATATCTTCTCATCAGATATTACATGTGAACATGATTTGAGAAAATAGAGTTAAACTTTGAAGACATTGTATTAATCATGTGCTTTTGTAACTGCTAGATTTTTTACTATTTTATTTTATTGTTTCAGTTTTTTAGCAACCTAGTCAATTAGTGGTTGCTATAATTTAGGAGCAAGCTAGTAGTAGTTGCTATACTTTAGGAACAAATTAGTTTAATTATTCAATTCCCTAAAATCCTGGTTACGTGGGATAACTTTCAGTTTTTCCTTTCCATTATTTATTGTAACATTTCTATCGATCAAATATACAATTCATTTCCTTTAATATACTGTTTCTCTACTTCTCTGCCACTATATTTGTTATTTTCTGCCATTAAACTAACAAATTGGTATTTAGAGCCTTCTTCTTAGAGGGACCTGTGAGTGAACCCAGTAAAAATCCACCATAATAAACCTTGCTTCAATTCATCAAATAGATGGATTCTGAAACTCCTTACACAAAACTAGCACCGCCTGTGTTTGACGGTGATAATTATCACATATGGGCAACAAGAATGGAGGCTCACCTAGAAGCAAATGACCTTTGGGAAGCCGTTGAGGAAGACTATGAAGTTCTTCCTTTGCCGAACAATCCAACCATGGCTCAGATAAGAAATCACAAGGAGAAGAAAGCAAGAAAGTCAAAAGCAAGAGCTACTCTGTTTGCTGCTGTCTCACAAGACATTTTCACCAGAATCATGACGATCAAATCGGCATTTGAGATCTGGAATTTCCTCAAGGAAGAATATGAAGGAGATGAAAGAATCAAGGGAATGCAAGCAATGAATCTGGTTAGAGAATTTGAGATGCAGAAAATGAAGGAGTCTGAAACAATTAAGGAGTATGCAAACAGACTTCTTAACATTGCTAACAAGGTGAGGTTGTTAGGTTCTGATTTTTCTGATTCACGAATAGTTCAGAAAATACTAGTGACTGCTCCTGAAAAATTTGAAGCTTTTATTACTTCATTGGAAAATACTAAGGATCTTTCAAAGATCACATTGGCAGAACTTGTAAGTGCTATGCAGTCCCAAGAGCAGCGAAGGTTGATGAGACAAGATGGTGCAGTCGAAGGTGCTTTACGAGCCAAGCACCATTATGGAGAAACCAGTAGAAATAAGCATGTCAAGAAGAACCAGCCATCAAGCAGCGAAAATAGTGCAAATAACCAAAACAATGGTAGGGGTAAAAAGAAAAACTACCCACCTTGTCAGCATTGCGGAAAGTTGGGTCACCCACCATACAAATGTTGGAAACGACCAGATGCGAAGTGTAGTAAATGCAATCAGCTTAGACATGAAGCTGTAATTTGTAGGAGCAAATTTCAGCAGCAAACTGAAGCTAATGCCCAAGTTGTTGAGCAAGATGAAGAAGATTATATTTTTGCTGCAACATGCTATTCGACGAGGAGTAATTCTGAATGCTGGTTGATTGATAGTGGTTGTATGAATCACATGACATATGACAAGACTCTATTCAAGGACTTGAAGCCCACTAATGTTTCAAAGGTCAGAATAGGGAATGGTGGCTATATTACTGCAAAAGGAAAAGGAACCATTGCAATTTCAACGTGTTCAGGTACCAAAATTATATCTGATGTTCTTTATGTACCTGACATCGACCAAAACTTGTTAAGTGTAGGTCAGTTGATTAAAAAGGGATTTAAAGTATCCTTTGAAAATCAACATTGTCTTATCTACGACACTGCTGGTCGGGAAGTTCTACGGGTTAAAATGAGAGGTAAAAGCTTCTCGTTTGATCCAACAGAGGAGGAGCAGGCGGTCTATTTTACTCAAGTCAGTCCCACAGAACTCTGGCACAAGAGACTTGGGCATTGTCATCTTGAAAGAATGCTGAACTTGCTAAGAAAAGGCATGTCAAGAGGTCTGCCAATACTTTCTGATAATTTAACAAATTGTAATGCTTGTCAATTTGGTAAACAAATAAGAAAATCATTCCCCAAATCAGCTTGGAGAACTTCTCAAAAGTTGCAGCTTGTTCACACTGATGTGGCAGGACCCCAAAGAACACCATCACTACAAGGTAGTCTGTACTTCATTCTTTTCATAGATGATTTTACAAGAATGTGCTGGATATTCTTTTTGAAATTTAAGCATGAAGTGGCTGGAGTATTTACGAAGTTCAAGAAAATGGTGGAAACTCAAAGTGGCTGCAAGATTCAATGTTTAAGATCTGACAATGGGACAAAGTATACATCAACAAAATTTAATCAATTTTGTGAAGAAGCTGGTATTGAGCATCAACTCACAGCCCCTTACACTCCAGAGCAAAATGGGGTTAGTGAAATGAGAAATAAATCAGTGATGGAGATGGCTAGATGCATGCTGCATGAGAAGGAGTTGCCCAAAACATTTTGGGCAGAGGCGGCTAACACAACGGTCTTTCTCCAAAATCGGCTTCCAACCAAAGTTTTGATAGATAAAACTCCATTTGAGGCTTGGTATGGGTATAAGCCGTCACTAACCTTTCTTAAAGTGTTTGGTTGTGTTTGTTTTGCACATGTTCCACAGGTTAAGCGTGACAAACTTGACAAGAAGGCAACTCCGGGCATCTTTGTGGGTTACAGTTCAGTTTCAAAGGCCTACAAAGTGTATCATCCTCAAACCGGAAAGATGACTGTTAGTAGAGATGTGCACTTTAATGAAGAACAACAATGAAATAGGGAGAACTCACAAAGAACAACTAAACTATTTGGCAACATTGATGATAAGCATCCGGGACAACAAACAACAGAGTTATTGCAGGATGAATTAGAAGACGACCCTCCAGTCAGAGGCAAAAGGCTGTTATCTGACATCTATCAAAGATGTAATGTAGAAGTTTGTGAACCTGCTAGCTCCGAGGAAGCACAAAAGGACCAGAAATGGAAAATTGCAATGGAGGAGGAGATATCCATGATACAGAAAAACAAAACATGGGAGCTGGTTGACAGGCCTGAAAATAGAAAAGTCATTGGAGTTAAATGGGTTTTCAGAACAAAGCTTAATGCAGATTGCTCAATCAACAAGCACAAGGCCAAACTCGTAGTTAAAGGGTATGCACAAATTTTTGGTGTTGATTATTCTGACACTTTTGCTCATGTGTCCGGATTAGATACAATTAGATTGGTGTTAGCCGTTGCTCCTGTGTCCGAGTCCACACTTTATGTGAAACATAAGGGAAATAATTTTCTCATAGTTTCCCTCTATGTGGATGATCTTTTAGTGACAGGAGATGACGCAAGGCTAGTTGACGAGTTCAAGCACAAGCTTTTGAAATGACAGATCTTGGTCTCATGACCTATTTTCTTGGAATTGAGATCAAACAAAGTGAGAATGAAGTGTTAATTTGTCAAAGAAAATATGCAAAGGAAATTTTGAAAAAATTTCAAATGGAGGAATGTAAATCTGTTAGCACACCAATGAATGAAAAGGAGAAGTTTAGCAAGGATGATGGTGCTGAAAAAATTGATGAAGGATATTACAGAAGCTTGATTGGATGTCTAATGTATCTCACTGCAACAAGGCCGGACAATCTATTTGCGGTAAGTCTCTTGTCTCGTTTTATGCACTGTCCAAGTGAAATTCATTTGCAAGCAGCAAAAAGAATATTGAGATATGTTAAAGGCACTATTGATTATGGAGTCAAATTTGATAAGTGTCAAGAATTCAAGTTGTATGGATTCTCTAATAGTGATTGGGCTGGATCCATTGATGATATGAAGAGCACTTCAGGATACTGTTTCAGCTTAGGCTCAGGAGTATTCTCATGGTGCACAAAGAAGCAAGAGATTGTAGCACAGTCCACCGCTGAGGCTGAATTTATAGCAGCAACAGCCGCTGTAAATCAAGCTTTATGGTTGAAGAAGATTTTATGTGATTTATCTTTGCAGCAGAAGAACAAAACAGAAATTTTTGTTGACAACCAGGTTGCAATTGCTATTGCAAACAATCCAGTATGTCACGGGAAGACTAAACATTTCAACATCAAGCTCTATTTTTTGAGAGAGATGCAGCAAAGTGGAGAAGTAAACTTAGTTTACTGCAAGTCTAAAGATCAATTGGCTGACGTGTTTACAAAGCCATTACCTATCAGCAAATTTGAATATCTAAGGCAACTGATTGGAGTTTGCAGTTCCTAAAGCAAAGAGGAGTATTAATCATGTGCTTTTGTAACTGCTAGATTTTTACTATTTTATTTTATTGTTTCAGTTTTTTAGCAACCTAGTCAATTAGTGGTTGCTATAATTTAGGAGCAAGCTAGTAGTAGTTGCTATACTTTAGGAACAAATTAGTTTAGTTATTCAATTCCCTAAAATCCTGGTTACGTGGGATAACTTTCAGTTTTTCCTTTCCATTATTTATTGTAACATTTCTATCGATCAAATATACAATTCATTTCCTTTAATATACTGTTTCTCTACTTCTCTGCCACTATATTTGTTATTTTCTGCCATTAAACTAACACATTGTGTGAATGAATTTTGAAATTTCAATCATGAATTGTCTTGCAAATTACCATAATAATTAGTGAACCAAAGACCATCAGTAACAATTAATGAATGATGATTACTTGATCATAGAATGTTTCGTAAAAAAGGTTACCGCCGTTACTCTTGTAATGTGATGCTGTCATGTTCTCTTTGCAGGACTACCAACATTTTTCAGGCACAAGAACAGTTCTTGATTTTGCCGAAATACCATCCAACCTCTTTGAGTGAGTCAAATTTTCTATTGCTGAGATAATGAGTAGAATGCTGCATGAAATACACTCTCTTGAGTCTTTACCCTAAATCAAAGTGGCAAATCAAATATTGGGGCACAAAAGGAAAAAAATTAATCTGGGCTTATCGCATAAGAAAAGCACTTAAAGTAATGTTGGATGCATTTATAAAATAACTTATGATATGCCTTGTTTTTAGCTTATTTCAACAAGTCCCTAAAATGGCTCATGAATAGGTCTTTAACTAACTCTCTAGAATAGGCTAAGCTTGTAAGTTTTTTACCGAAATGCACAGTAAAAGATGTGATTAGTGGAGAGATACATTTGGAGTTTGAGAAAACTGGAATATTCGGGAACCAAAATAGGGTTTTACTAACATTGTTAGAATCAAACTCATTTATTATTAGGATTTGAATTAGTAAATCATACAGTTAGACACAGAACTTGAAATTCCTGGTATGTCACAGACTCAGGATGTCTAATGGAATGTTAAGACATCTGATCTGACATTAAGCGCTGTACAGGTAGAATAGGCGGTACTTTTGATATCTGTTCTACAACAGACACTGAACTATCATACCAGACCCTGCAACACCTTTGACAAACGCAGGTTCTGATTTACTGAAGTTCAGAACAGTTAAGGTTAATCATATACATTGATGTCATGAGGAATGCTGTGACATCAAACAAATAACCAATGCAGAAAGTAAATAACACACAGAATTGTTCACCCAGTTCGGTTCAACCAACCTACATCTGGAGGCTTCCAAGCCAGGGATAAAGTTCACTATTAGTAGTATCAATTCAAAGACCCTACAGCCAACACACCCGTTGACAGCCTTCTCACTTAATCACTACCCAATGACACTTTTACCTAAGATCCAATCCTAGATATGAGAACCCTCTCACTCCCCCTCAATCACCGCAGTGATTACTTTCTACAGTACATAAACTGTTCAGAAGATACACTTCCATTACACAACTTGATCATGCTTAAAAGCTTCAATCAAGTACAATGCATACATCCTCTAACCTACAGGTTTCAAGGAGTATGGTGACCATCCCACAGCCCGGGTGGTTCACAACAAAACTAGCCCTAATAATTACATCTTGTCAATACACGGCATACTTAAATTAGGTTACAATACTTCTATTTATAACCCTTTTTACCCAACTGGATTTGGGCCTTCATATGACAGCAATGCAGCTTTAACGACCTGCATAAAGTAAGCAGAAAACTTCTGCTGTAAGTTAGGTCTTCAATCGAGCTTTTCTCCTTATCCTTAGCTTCTGATTGAATCTTCTAGGGCTCCACATATGCCTTCAATTTTCGCTACTTGTTATGCATTCTATTTGGCAGAATATTCTGCATAACTTCAGGAACAGAACTGCATCAGACTTGACAGTTCAGTAGCTTGATGTCTGGTATGATGTTATGACATCTCTTGAGACATGTTGTTCCAGATGTTGATTCAACACAACATGTTTAGGCATTTACAATAGGATTTTCAGGCTGTTCCTATTGTACATTACATTATTGTTGTTACTATTTGTTTTACAAGAAATGAGCCAATCCTAAACGAAGGCACTTACAATCTCCCCCTTTGGCAAATTTTGGCTAAAACAAATACAACAATAGAAAATAAAAGTGTTCAGGATACACACAGAAGGGTGTCTTGACATCTTTGGTTGTAGCCACACTAACCATCCAGGACCTCTTGAAGCACAGGAGGAAGAGGATGCACCTCATTCCCTTTTAGACCACGAACCATTTCTTGTCACTGGTGGTGGAGAAAGAGGTCCGTGGGAGATAAACTATCCTTTCAGAGGCATCCGAGAACCCTTAAGGAGTGACCAGAATATCTCCCTTGTAACTCAGAACACAGGTCACAACTGTGTTCATAACTCAGATCACAAGTCACAAAGAAATTCACGCCATTTGAATTTCTGCTGAATTTGTGACAAGTCTTTGTGATCAAAATTTTGAGTAGCTGCTGCAACGAGGACAATGTCAAACAGTACTCCTTTCTCCCCCTTTTTGGCCAAAAATTGACAAAGAAAGCCCTCACAAAACCAGATCCAAGAACAGTTTTCCCAGATCCGTACAAACCCCATGATGGTTGTGAGAGAAAAGAATGTGTGACAGGAGGATATATAAGGAGATAACAGGTTCAAGAAGATGGCAATATAAAATCTTGGTCAAGGATACCTGTTAAAGTTGTTTGCATATTTCAGACTGACTGTGCATGAAATTTAGACGCATTTGTTTGTTTCTGCCAAAAGAACCAGTCCTAATACATGCATAAGTTTGGGTCAAAGCAATTCCTGAATAAAATCAGCCTTTGACCGACTTTTTAGGAAACAAAATACCAAATATAGCTCCTGAATAGCTACAATTACGTGGTGAAGTTATTTTCCACGTATTCTTCTTGATTTCCCCAAGGTTGCAATGTCGTTGGTAATGTCATGACACTTACTTAGACGTTACCTTACATTCTTCAACAACAGCAGCCTTCTTTTTACTTCTCTCAGTTAGGCACAGAGAAGGACACTTTAAACAGCTAGTAGCAAGAGACTAGTAGCCTTAAGCATGTCCATCAATCATGCTTTCTTAAGTGTTGCTGAGATCCAACACAATTACTTTCTACCTTCTTCCAGACAGCAAAATAAGGAAGGAGGGAATAAACCAGAAGACTCCAAAATGCTTCACAAGACATCACAGATTAGTTCTAATACACAAAATTTAGATGCCACTTCTATTTCTTGTAGTAAAAGAACCCTTTGAACATATGCTGAATATATCAGATTTCTTAATCTGATTTACTTCTTCTGATCTTCCATTCACTAGTAGTTGCTAGAGCTAGTGAAGTCTTTACCACAATAGCATTTCTGATATGCCAGACCAAGTTGCTATTGATAAGATCTGAATCTTCCAAATTGCTCCAAAAGTATCAAAACTGCCACTTATGATACTTTTAAGAATCTCTGAGATTTTCTTCCTAAACCCAGACAGATAACAAGAGCAATTCTTCAATCTCCTGATGTTGAGACATTATCCATGACTACACTTAGAAGTTCACATAAACATCAGCATACCACCGTCCTCTTCTGACTTCTGATCTTCAGATTAAGTCCAACAATACAAAGTCTCCCTTCAATGTATATTGTAATTGGGGAAAGTGCAACACTCAGTGACTCCCCTTGTTGAGGCCAATCAAAACAATAGCGTGAAAACCAGTAGCACTAGCTCTGAGGTGGTAACTTCAAGCACCCTGAACTAGTCTTAGAATAGTAAGGACATCTCTGATTCATGCCCTTGCACTTCCACACTTATCATGACTCTCTGGATGGCTGAGAAATCATGTAGCCATAGTCTGAAACCAACCTCCAACCTTCTTAGTGTGCTTACAAGCTTTACTAAGATTCAGATTTTCTAGAAGGATTATCCTTCAATCAAAAAGTTGATCATGTCATCCTTCTGTATAATATATTTACTAGTAGTTGCTGATACTAGCAAATTTTTCAGACCACAACAGTAGTTATGCATTGTTAAGCATACTACTCTTAAACACAAGTAGAATCTACTTATTCCAAACCAACAATAGAACTGCCACTTCTGAATGAGGCGATAGAATATTAAGATTCACAGTCCCAAGTCTCTGCCACAGACTTCTAACAATAATGATGTTACAGCATCATCTGGGACATCAGAACCTATCTGCTTGGGTTCTGAAGTTAACATTCAGGGGATTGATGCCCTTTTATATTTCCCATATGAAAGGTATGATCTTCATCTTCAGCAATAATTACTCACCAGAATACCCTAGAGAGAAATAAACTCTCTACCAAGTTCTGAGAAATAGGTTCAGAATACAGCCTTGCATGCATATTATACAAACACTTAGTCTCCCATCAAAGTGCTTATATATATCTTTATGCAGGATCCTAATGAATACTTAGTCTCCCGTCAAAGTATTCATTATTAGTTAGATTAAGCCACCTTCTCAAGGTAGGATAATTATTCTAACAATCTTCTGCTCCATGCATGAAGAACCAACTGGTCCTTACAAGCTTCCTTTGCTGAAGAGGCCCTACGTTTGAGATGATGTTGCAACATTGATCCCAACCATATGAGCCTGGCTTATACTATGGTTTTGGATGAACATCCATTGCAATCAAAGCACACTTTTCTTGTAGGGGATACAAGAGTACACCAGAAGCTAATCATCCTTTATGATCAGACCCATAACAACCACATAACCTGTTCTTGTTCTTATCCTCCTTGGAAATCACTAAGATCATGAGAAATAAACTCAAGCATTTTACAGAACAAGGTAAGATGAACTCCCTTTCACATCAGCTTGATCATACTCCTACCTCTGAACAAAATGTTATCCAACTTCCCTCTTTATGGATACATTGTTGAGCTCTTTACTTTAGACACATAGTAAGTACTCTTTATTTGGAATTTGCCACAGGTTTCAAATTAAGAGTCCTTAGTTTGCTTGCTGTACAAGTTTCAGATTGCCACATTCTGTAACTTGTACTAGAAGAAACTTCATTATCAATCATGAGGATGTTCAATAAGTCTGGAACTTATCTGTCTTTCCTCAACAACTGATGTCTTCAACAGTTGTGATGTTGTACATCCTTTAGAACTTTTGATTCTGATTTCCACATATTTATCACATAAATATTCTGCTTCCATCATTTATTCAGTTAGAATTATCTAATCATACTAGATGATCCTGACTGATTACTTCTTCATACTTGCTAAGCATATTTACTTGGCTGAAGACACAGAAATGATGTTCCATCATCCATCACATGAGGGAAAACCTGGAAATCACAGCTTTAAAGTCCTTTTAAGTGCATTTAGCTCAGTACATATACTCCCTTAAACTCACAGCTGGAGTAGATGACCTGTTGATCGTGTCCTGATCAATTATTTTAAAACAGATGTCTCCTCTTCCAGATCAGGAGTAGGTTCCAAACATATGTACTCACACTACATGTGTTTAGCACCCAGAACATCTGTTCTTCAACTGGCAGATGCATGATGTTCTAACATCCTTAAGCATATCAGTTCCATCTCCTTGGAACACATCATCCTTGATAATCTTCAAGCAGCTTGTAGATGTATATGAGAATCATTGATTAATTGATACTCATCAACACTAATAATAAATGCCTTTATGAGTGGACTTGAGGAAATCTGAAGCATCTTTGACATTATTGATAGATTGCAAAATCTGCTTACAAATTCTGTTGAAAATAATAACCCTAGAGTTCTTCTTTCACTTTAGAAGCTATGCAGCGGCATAGCAGTACTTCAACAGAACCTACACAATGCTTACTCCATATAGCAAGCATGACACATAAGGATTGAAAATAAATCAATCCTACAAGTTGTTTGCTTCTTCACCAAGCAACTTTCTAGACCCAACTCTACAGCCCTGTTAAAAGGAAGCTTTATACACACAGATGATACCTTATCAATATCTTCACTCCAGCATGAGGTCTTTGAATTTGTTCAAACACTTTCATCTAGTTTCTCCCAAATTGGTCCATCCTCCACTCCTAGGGACCAAACAATATAAACACTACTGGTTCAAACAATATTCTACCTTGTACACAACCGGAAAGTATCCCCCATGGATCTCATCCAGAGACAGACAGGATGCCTGCTCTGATACCAATTGAAATTCCTGGTATGTCACAGACTCAGGATGTCTAATGGAATGTTAAGACATCTGATCTGACATTAAGCGCTGTACAGGTAGAATAGGCGGTACTTTTGATATCTGTTCTACAACAGACACTGAACTATCATACCAGACCCTGCAACACCTTTGACAAACGCAGGTTCTGATTTACTGAAGTTCAGAACAGTTAAGGTTAATCATATACATTGATGTCATGAGGAATGCTGTGACATCAAACAAATAACCAATGCAGAAAGTAAATAACACACAGAATTGTTCACCCAGTTCGGTTCAACCAACCTACATCTGGAGGCTTCCAAGCCAGGGATAAAGTTCACTATTAGTAGTATCAATTCAAAGACCCTACAGCCAACACACCCGTTGACAGCCTTCTCACTTAATCACTACCCAATGACACTTTTACCTAAGATCCAATCCTAGATATGAGAACCCTCTCACTCCCCCTCAATCACCGCAGTGATTACTTTCTACAGTACATAAACTGTTCAGAAGATACACTTCCATTACACAACTTGATCATGCTTAAAAGCTTCAATCAAGTACAATGCATACATCCTCTAACCTACAGGTTTCAAGGAGTATGGTGACCATCCCACAGCCCGGGTGGTTCACAACAAAACTAGCCCTAATAATTACATCTTGTCAATACACGGCATACTTAAATTAGGTTACAATACTTCTATTTATAACCCTTTTTACCCAACTGGATTTGGGCCTTCATATGACAGCAATGCAGCTTTAACGACCTGCATAAAGTAAGCAGAAAACTTCTGCTGTAAGTTAGGTCTTCAATCGAGCTTTTCTCCTTATCCTTAGCTTCTGATTGAATCTTCTAGGGCTCCACATATGCCTTCAATTTTCGCTACTTGTTATGCATTCTATTTGGCAGAATATTCTGCATAACTTCAGGAACAGAACTGCATCAGACTTGACAGTTCAGTAGCTTGATGTCTGGTATGATGTTATGACATCTCTTGAGACATGTTGTTCCAGATGTTGATTCAACACAACATGTTTAGGCATTTACAATAGGATTTTCAGGCTGTTCCTATTGTACATTACATTATTGTTGTTACTATTTGTTTTACAAGAAATGAGCCAATCCTAAACGAAGGCACTTACAGAACTCAATAATTCAATAATCATAAATGAATGAGGAAATAATAATGTTTTTGTGTAAGGAACCTTGACAAGTGTTCTACATGGAATAGGGAAGAAATTGCTGTCAAAACTTGCTATAACCTCTTGCGTGCTGATGCTGTGGTATTGATCTGCTAGTTTGTGATTGACTTGGTTTTTTTTTTTGGTGCACAGATACTATGCATGGGATTATCGGGTTTTGAAAACATTTGCTAAACACTATTCAACAGGTGATGAAATCCCCCAGAAGTTGGTCAACTCAATGCTGGGTGCCAAAAATATGTTTGCCGCAACTGATCTGCAGCGTCAGGTATTTTTCTTTTTCTTTTACTTTTCTTTATGCATGTTTGGGGAGGACTGAGCGGTGTCTTAAGTCAGCATCATACCATAGTTTTCTATTTCTGAAATAACAATTAACATACTATGACTGTGTGTTTCTGTCAGATCTTCTATGCCCTGGTTGACCAGACACTCTTTGGGGAACAGCCACTCCCCCTTGGTGGTAGTAGTTCTGTTGTTGCAGAAATGAAAAGAACACATACAAATCTGGAACATATAGAAGGCACGCACTGGGAGTCCCGATTTAGTCATCTTCTAAATTATGGTGCAGGTGGGTTTGAAATTTGAACTTCCTCTAATCCCTTGAGCTATATTGATGATTTTGAGCTTACTGAAATATCTTTAAGTTCATGTTTCTTTATTACTGAATTTTAATTATAGTTGATAATTTGTTATACTTGTTTTCTCTTTTGTGTAGGGTATTATAGCTACTTGTATGCGAAATGTTTTGCTGCAACCATATGGAAGAAGGTTTGCCAGGAGGATCCACTATCACCAATTGCAGGCAGTGCTATAAGAACGAAATTCTTACAGCATGGAGGAGCCAGAGAACCGGCTGCTATATTGAATGATCTAGTGCCTGAAGGTATATATAGGTATTACGATGGAGGGATAATCCCTGATATTTCAAGTCTATGTGCGGAAATGGAACTGATGGAAGATCAGCAGAAAGTACATTTGTTGTGAGTTTTAAAGAAAAAGTTGACAGGACACAACTAGCACAATGCAAAATGATATCATTCACAGGAACATATTTAAAGTGAAACTGGATTGAGTTCTGTGGAAGTCTGCATATATATGTCAATGGTAGCATCCTGAAGTTGGGCAAACATTCTAGAGCTCAATCTTCTTGTGATAGAATGCGTTCTCGGCACAATTTCACATGCGTTCTCACATGAAAAGAAATAAATTACTCTTTTTGCCTCGTATTTATATCATAGATTGAAATGTAGCAAAGTTTTGCGTCTCACTTTTGGACCAGAGGTTGGAAATGTTTGTCACTCGTTGTTTTTTTACTGTTACTTTCATAATTTATTCATATTGCAATTTTATTTTATCCTTCCAATCTTCGTCTGTATTATCTCTATTGTTTATCCTTCAAATCCTATACACGTGACACTACTCTTTATAAGATGGAGCCTTCTTCTACCATCTCATATCTTAGTTTCATGTGTGGTTGCATTTGTTGTTTGATTTTTTTCTCATTTGCCAAAGAAAGACAACTAAAAAGAAGGTGATGGTTAAATTGGAAATTCACAAAAATTAAAGATCTTGCAATAATTGTTTTTAAAGGGTTAAACATAAATTAGTTTTGTAAAATGAATTAGTTTTTTTTTTTTCATTCATCTAATATTAACTATAGTTTTTAGTCCTTGCAAATTGAACAAAATTTGGATTTGGTCTCTCTAAACCTTTTCCCTTTGGATGTGGCTTTTCTAATATAAAATCAAAGTTTTAGGTCCTATAAATTATTTTAAACACTAAATAAAGAGAATGTTAAAATTAAAAGGTGTCTTTGAACTTTGATTAAATTGACAAATGTTTTTAACTTGTATTCTTAATATAAACTTTGATTTCATTTTATTGATTTTTAATTGAATACATGTAAGACACTAGTCAATATTGTCTTATAAATAAAATTTATTTAGAGGCTATTTTCTCGATTCCACATTGAGCATTAATTACTTTTTGTAATTGCATGTTTAAAAATAATATTATTTGTATTATTTTTAATTTAATATATATTCCTTTTATATTTATTGTAATTACAAATCCACTTGATAAAGATATTTTGATAAAAATATTTTTTTTATTTGTATGATTTTTAATTTATATGAAATCATTAAATAAGTTAGTATTTATTTTGTGATAGACGAAATAAAATTTAAAAACTCTATGATTGGATGATCTCATGTGATATAATTTATAGACTAATTTTTTGAGTTGGAGATAATTTTTTATAAGTTAAAAGAGAGTCTTAGATAATTTAACATGTCTAATCTCTTGAGTCGGAGATAATTTTTAATAAGTTAAAAGAGAGTTTTAGAGAATTTAACATGTCTTTCTATGGATTATACATATCATCTTCTAAGGATATGATTTTACCATCATATTCTTGTGAATGATTATTAAATTTCAAAAAATTAAATTTTTACGAAAATTTGTAATGTATCAAAAATTTCAAAAATAAAATTCTAAATTTTCAATTCAATATTAAAAATTTCGAATACTATATAAATTTTTTTAGTATATTTCAAAATTTCCGAAACAAAAAAAATTTTAAAAATGAAAATTTAGAAAATACACTGGATTTTTGAGAAATTTCCAAAAAAATAACTTAACTAACATTCTTAAGTTTTACCGTTCGTTGAGAATCACGTGGTATGCAACAACATAACATTCATTGGTCTCATCGTTACAACACTTTGCTTCTTTGTTTTTGTTCTTCTTCTTCTTCTTAACTACATTCAATTCAAACTCAATTCTTACACTTATTATGGAAGGATCATCATCAACATCCTTCCATGATTTTCTCCACCGCATGCGACATCCTTCCTCGCTCGACCTCGTCCGGGCCATTAAGAGGTAATTAACCAAAATATTTTTTATTGGTATAAATCGAATATCTCCTCGCGAGACAAATCTCTCGAGCCATACCAAAAAAACATCTTTTGTTAAGGAATTTTATTTAGTGGTAGTTATATTTTACTTTGTTATATGTAATTGCTTTTGTTAAATTTGATTTTATGTGTTATGTGCTAATTCTTATTTCTTATAGAAATTTTTTTATTTATTAGCTTCATAGTATCATTTTCATTTTATCAACCAAAACCTGAAAATGATGGAAAAAGAGTTCAAGACTTCTTTTCATCAATGGAAGTTGCAATTAGAAATCATCCACTTTGGGCAACTGCTACTGAACAAGATATTGATTGTGCCATGGAGGTATATATATTATTGTCTTTATTATATATAAATCAAATCAATGTGTTATTTCATTACAAATCTCTCATTTTTTGTCGGTAGATTCTAAATGCAATTTTATTTATATTATTTGCAGGGTTTAGAAAAATATATTATGACTAAATTATTCTCTAGGACATTTTGTACTTCTCTTGAAGAAGCAAAGATTAACCATGAAATCTCTGAGAAAATAACTTTACTCCAAACCTTTCTCAAGCCTCAACATTTGGATATTCAACCTGTTCTTCATAATGAATCTTCATGGCTGGTATGCTATGTCTAATCATCATCATCATGCATGACTAAATTTCAAATTAACTAACGTGTATGATTGATAACTATAAATATCTACCAAATAATGACACAGACACTGATACAAACATAGATACTAAAAATAAATATGAACGCATTAACACTGATAATAATTTTTTTAATAGATAAATTTTTTCGAATATAATCACATAGGTCAAGGTGGTGTTGGAGACTAACGAATGAGTGATATTAGATTAATATCATTATTTTTCTCTTGCATATATAGCTTGCAGAGAAGGAATTGCAGAAAATGAATGCATTCAAAGCTCCACAAGAGAAGCTTTCAAGCATTATGAACTGTTGTACAGTTATCAACAATTTGTTGCTCAATGCTGCAATGTCTGAGCATGTTCCAGCTGGAGCTGACGATTTTCTCCCTGTGCTTATATATGTTACCATCAAGGCAAGGCAAGCCCCTTTTGGTAATAATACATATATTCTACTGATTGTTGAATATAGTTTATCATAGGTCTCACAGTTTTGATCTTTTACTCGATTTAAAATATTGATTTTAACTCTATTTAAAAGACTATATAAAGAAAATTATGTATCATCATATTTTATTAAGAATAGGAATGCATTGAAATTTCAATTAATTTAATAAGCTAAAAACAACTAGGGTTGAAGGCAGCAAATGGACAATGTCCGTCCTGTTTGGGTCAGCCCTATAAAAAAATGGAACATGAGATAGATAAACATAATAGTGTGTGATCTTAAAATTTTATTCAGTCATACAAAATCTTTTGTCCATAGTAGAGCGAACACTAAAATTTAAAATTTACAAAAATTTATGTCTGCCTCATCAATGTTGGTGTCCGAAAAAAACGGAAGAGGACAAGGCTGATATTGTAGGGGTGTACGAACTTAAAACCTAAACTCGTCCCGTGAAAAAATATAGACAAAAAAGACATGTCAGACATTCAAATCTCTGATCTTTTTATACTTATTTCTTCTTTCGTTTTGTAATTTTCAGGCCAATCCTCCAATGTTACATTCAAATCTCAAATTCACCAAGTTGTATAGAAGGCAAACAAAACTCATATCAGAAGCTGAATATTATTTCACAAATCTTGTCTCAGCCAAAACATTTATAATTGACTTGAATTCCAAATCCCTCTCAATGGATGAAATCAAATTTGAAGAATGCATGCAAGAAGCCAAATTGGCCAACAAAGTCAGAAATGAATTACACTCTACATGTCAAATGGAACATCAAGAGAAAAACGATTGCATGTTATCAAATACAATGCGCAACAAAACTTTAGGTAGTTGGTTAATTTGTTATTTTCTTCTATAGTTTTCAACTCTTATCGGAATCAGTTTTAAACTATGTGCAGATGTTCATATTTTGCAAGATGGATCAAGTTATCCATACATGGAAGCAAAGAGCAAAGATCTAGCAATAGAAGATGTGGATGTATTGTTACATCACTATAAGGAGTTAGTTTCTAAGCATACAATTTTATGCAAAGCCATCAATTGTCTTACTGAGTTAGAGAAAGAATCATTGCTTCATCAGCTAGAAATGCAAGGAGCATGAAGTGTGATTTCTCAGTGCAATGGAATCAACACAGACACAAATGAGCAAGCCACCACACATCAACATAAATCACAAAAAGAATCACATACGTTTTTATTTATTAGAATCATGTAAGATTGTATCTTTGAACCATAAAGTAAAATTCATTGGTGAAGAAACTTTGCATGGAAATAGCAACCATTTTCATTAAACTCAATTATGTAAAACAAAACATATTGAAAGACCACTTTCTTACAAATAATTGAATGCGCTTGCAACTTTCAAAAAGTTGATTTTCAAAGGAATCTAACCCTGCTTAACCTTCTTGATACCTTTTCGGATGTTTCCTTGAGAAATACTATAAAAAAAGGTGTTTGAAAGTTATGTTTTGAAAAGGATTCTAACCCTGCTTAATCTTTCAAATGTTAATTATCCAATTATATATCAATCATTGCTCGTTTCTAACAATCAATACGCTTTGCTAACTACTTGATTTGTTATTAAGCATATTTCATTTAGAAAGTCCAAAATAATTTATAACAAAAATTTGAAGTATATACTTGAAATAAAAGCATCATTTCACTTATAAATATTATCAAAAGAATGTTATGCTTCACACATACCAAGTCACAAGTATATGAACATCGTGCTTTCTGGAATAATTATTGTATGTGTATTCTTAAATACCATAACATATGGTCCAGAATATGTTCAGGCTTAGCCGAATTACAAGGTACAAAATAAAATAAAAACTCTGAATCAAATGTAATAATTTTAGGTTTTTCGTGGAATGGCCAGGAGATTTGTTTCAGTCACAGAATTTGAACTCGTATTTTTTATTCGTCCTTAACTAGAGTTTGTTAACAACTAGAACTCAATTACGCTTTTGTGTAATAATGATAAAGCTAGAACATAATATGCAACAAATCCCACTTACTTATATGCCTACATGGACATTGTCATAAACTCGACTTATTAATGGAACAGCCACATTCCATGACTTAAGTATTGCAGCTCTTCTGTGATAAATAACTTTTTTCTAGTATACACCATATGCCTCAGGCTTAATCACTTGATCAGTCTTTCACTGCTCCTATAAAAATTTGCACGGACGGCAACACAGACATCTACAATGAACCTTAGTGGTAGAAAATGTACCAATTGCAAATGTTTCAAGTAAAATCGAGCAACGACCTGCACAACGTGGATTTGAATATTCTGTCATTCCTCCATTTCCACAAAACTTACTGCAGAGGGAATTCCTTTTGGAGAAGGTCCAAATTACGACTATCGCAAGCTTCCAACATGTCATTCCTGGAAGCACAACTGGAAAATAGGAGAGAGAAGTTTAAGTCGCGGGAATATAAAATTAGAAAAACTAACTTCTATGGTCTTGATCTTACTTGCCTCGGTCAAATATCATTCAACTTTTTATTGTTAAGTCATACCTCAATGAAATTCTCAAATATTGCCATGCATTCTCTGCTTTTGGATTCATTGCAAGCGCTCGAACATAATAACGAACAGACTCGTCATACATGCCCTGTAAGGAAACGCATATGTTAATAACAAACTATAGTTTCGTAATAAAGTTAGGATACAGCATATTAAATCAAGAGTTAACCACCCTTTTAGTCTTCCAAACACTCCATTAAAAAAGATCAATTTGGTATTCATCAAGACAAATTGGGTAAAAGGCTCAAGGTTTTTTTGGTTTTTTTGTCTATCATGCTATCATACCCTTACTTGAAACTAGGACCAAAAAAAATACAAACTTTATGTTGAACTTTAACTTGACAAGAATGGAGAAAGCAAGGATCAAACTTCTGTGTTATGACTTATGACCACTAGGTCACATGCAAATACAACTTTTAATGACCAATTATCCCAAAAGCTAAGTTGATCTCCAACCAATGTCATGGCCTCACAGGTAGAGAAATGATATCAGAGTGTAGATCAAATTTGTGTGTTTAAAGTCATCAATCGTTTTATTAAAAATTAGTTGTAAAGAGGGCAGTCCAGGTGCAGTGTTCGTGATTTGACCCCAGCAAGTGGAGATGTTACTGGGGTTTGAACCCGTGACCTCCAAACAAAAATAAGACCAACCGGATATCCATAAAGACAATTTGATAACAAAATAATTCAAAAAAAGATTAAACCATAGAGAAGCAGGACATATATTAAAATTTCCCTTTCTCAAGTTGATAAATTTAAAATAAGAATAAGCTATAAGCCGAGCAGGGAGTTTACCTGGTTTGCATAACTGATACCCATATTTGCCCAAGCACGAACATAATTAGGCTTTAAATCTAGTGCCTGGAGTGGAGATTGTTTAGGTCAATAGAAAAAACAAAATTCCATTAAAGAACAGATTTTATACAAAAAATAAATAGCATATTTTATTTACTTGAAACTGGGAATAATCTCAACATCTACAAACACGTGAAGACATGAAACGTAAGATAAAATACATTGAAGTGAATCAGGATTGATTTCAGTACATACCTGTTGATAAGCCATTATTGCATCAGCACTTTGAACACTGTTTGCTTGTGTCGCACCAAGCTTATTCCAGAGAGAGTAATCTTGTGGCTTAAGTTTCAATGCCCGTTCAAAAGCTGCAATGGCTTTGTCGTATTCTCTGGATAAGTTGTACAGGACCCCAAGAACTATGTGGACATCGGCATCATCAGGTGACATTACAGCTGCTTCGTTGTATAATCTAGCAACCTGCAAAAAGGAATATCAATCTCTCAAAACTAACTATAAGATATATTTGAATGAATATTGTTAGATAAGTGCTTCAGTATGTTTGTCAGACAGAACTTGGCTTTAAAAAAAGTGAGAAGTGGGATGAGACGGGAAGGTATATAGTGTTGAAGCTAAATATCATTATTTAATTGTTTTAGTATGTTTGTTGGATAAAACATGGCTTCAAATGAGAAGAAAGATAAGATAGGAAGGTCTAGTATTGAAGGTAAGCTTCATGTCATTGCTCAAATTTTGTACACACTTCAATACTTGATGAGGGAAGTTGTGTCAGCCTCTTCCCACAACTTACCAATGAGATTAGGGTGTGACAAATGACAATATAACTGCCATCAATACTTCATTTAATCCAATACTTAAACATAATGGATTGGTATTTTTCAGGCAACGAAAATCAAGGCTCTTATTTATTTATATTTAATATTTTCAATAAAGCCAACAACGAAAAAAAGATATATTTACAAAGGCCCCAATTGGGTGAGGATTGATGATGCATATGAATGATAAAAAAATGCATCCCACCTTGATTGAAATGTTAAAATAATAGACTGGGACTGGGAGAATGTTTTAATACATTATTTAACCCTTAACTTGTTTTAACATTGTAATAAGAAAGATCATGTCTTAAATATTTAAACATTCCTCATCCCTTCCCTTTTCCCTACCGTTCCTTTTTTTTAACCCTCCAATCCCTTTGCACCGTAACGCCCTAAAAATACCTACATGCTAAACAACAAAGAATAGTCCAGTAGAAAACTTTCTAAGAAGCAAAAAGGTGAGGAGAATGATTGCCACAAAAAAATTTAAAAAAAAATCTAGTTGACTATTCATGCAACCTCCACTGCTACAGAGCCTTGGATCACTGCTACAGTCATTTCCGGCCAGTACTACAGTTTGGTTCACTTTTAGTGCCATTTGACTCGCTAGGCTCTATTACTCTGTTTGGGACTCCAATGAGATACTCCTTCCAATAGCATATGTAAACAAAAAATACAAAAAAGCTCGCTCTTTAAGAAAATACAAACAAGCTCACTCTTTCAGAAAATGGTATAAGTGCATTTAAGTCACACACTTTTACACTTACTTTTTGCTTTGAAAACTTTGGAATATGAAAAACTTATGGGTAAATTAGGAATAGAGATGTTAATTGTAATAATTCATAGAAGATTTTTGTTTATATTTAAGACCATAGAAAAACATTTTGTTAGGTTGACCCCATACTTAGAGTGCTTTAGGTGCCCAATGCCCGCGGTTGATTCCTTGCATCAACTGCTACTTCATTGTAAAGTTGTGACAAGTTCTAGTAAGGGCTTCAGCTGCTGCTTAAGCATTGTTGTTCATGAAAACCAGCAGTCGTTTCTTCAGTTAGAGCATCATGGTTTGCTTTTGGGATCAACCTTATTGGCCTATGGTTTTAGTCTTTCTTCTTGGTTTATCCAAGATATGTTTTTGGGTTTGGTAGCACACTTGTCCGTTTTGTCTTTTGAAGGGTATATTTGTAGCAAGCTCAAAATTTAGTAAGCTATAGCTTGAGAGGTAGTGCGAGTATATAAGAAAAATAGCATTCAATTCCACTTACATCAGCATAGTACAAAGAATCAGACATCTCAGGTGGGGCAATTGTTCCATATTTTGGGTGATGTCGTAGCCATCCAAATAGATACTTCAACGCGGCACTTTGCTCCAGTTCTGCAAAAAACCAGCACATGTTCAATAACTCTTATTTAGGAATTCAATGTTAAACCTACAAGTTATTTGCATCAATGCTTGCAACAATAACTAAAATAAAAGGCAGGTACAAAATGGACTAAGAATACAAAGCAGGAACAAAGTCAAGTAAATAAAAGTATTTTAGCTTTTCAAAAGAGCTCTCCAAGTCCAACCTCTATAATTTCTTTTGAATAACAACTAAAACTGAGTAGAAATTAACATAAAATCAATTCAAGCACCAAAGCATCGTGTGACAAAGAAGCCTTTGAACTAGTATTAATTTCCTTAGGTACAAGATACTCCCTCAGGTCCTCATTATAAGATGAAAAACCAAAAAACATCAAAATCAATGCTGCAAAAAATACCTACATGAGAAAATGTGAAGCATTAAATATACCCATTAATATTAAAAAAGACAGACAGGCATCTTAAATGAGAGTAAAAAGTCTTTTAAGCAATAAATGCATCTTAAAAGTTATGACATTTTCTTATAAATAGGACCAAAATAATCTTCAAAAATTCTCTTATAATAAAGACAAGGTAGTATCATTTATTGAGGTATCATAAGTAGTCAGTCACTGACCATTTGTATGACTGACACCAAGAGCAAGAAGCACCTCCAAGTTTGTTGGATCAGCCTCCTGTGCACGCATCATCGCTGCAATCGCCTGCATAGGTTTGAAATGTTTTACAAAAGCTATAAGTTACTACTTAAAGAAAACATCTAAAATACAAAGTGATAGATCAATTGTAGTAAAATCAAGATGAATGTGGATGACTAAACTGTATAATAAACAACAACGAATCCTGTACAAAAGAACGGTGTAGAGAAAGAAAGCACGGTGATTTACTAAATAAACAAACAATAAAAATTAACAATAAGATGCTATACAGTATATTCATGAAGGATTTATACAAGTTTCCACATCAAAGTAAAATCTTGGAGGCAGAAGAATAGATAAATAAACACCATGTATTAAACAGATTCCAGTTTAGTTTACAGTTTAGTTCAACCTAAACGCGTCCTACCACTTATGGAACCCATTTAATATTAATTTTGTAAATTTGCAAACATAAAATGGTCAAAAATATAAACTAACTGAAACCAATTTAAGTTGAATAAAATACAAAGCATGAAATGATTACTGCGTATGTGGAACAATTACATAATAGTAAATAAAGAAGCAAAATAGAATAGCATATTTAACTGAACAGAAACACTGTTTCTGCTATGACAGTTGAAATATAAATAGAAAACAATTGATAAAAGTTGTTAATTCTGTAGAAAATATGTACAGCATCATGCTATAGTGTATGATTGTAGTAGTTAGTCAAAAACAAATGTTATAAAGTCTACACAAATAGGGGAGTTTATCATCAAGAAGGCATAACATAACCTGTTGATCATCATCATTTTCTGCATGTGCTATTCCGAGTAGTCTCCATCCTTCGGCATTTTCAGGGCTTTTCAAGACTTCGGCTTCTAGTGCTAGAACAGCTTCACTTAAAAGCCCTTTTCTGAAGAGATCTTGGCCTTCTTTTAGTGGATTTGGATGGCCAACATAAGGATTTAAATCTGAAAAGACATACACGCCCCTTGAACTATCTGACCGCTGCTTGGCAACATATTGCTCATTCAGGAACCTTCACATAACCCCAAACGAGATACTGATTAATTCAAGGGAATAAAATCCATGCCGGCATGTAACCATTTCTAGCTTAAGGGGTATTAGAGTGAGATATGAGAGAGAAGAGAGAAAAAGCTAAAAGAGAAAAGAGAGAAACAGATTCTGTTATTGCTTAATTGGAAAGGAGCATTATGCTCTATTTATACAAGAGGAGATGAACATTCAAGAGTTGAATCATTCAAGCTCTACAATTAAGGAAGACTTTTCTTATTCTATTAAATTAAGGCTGGACTTAATTATTCTATAGTGCTGATTATTCATATTCTAAGATATAACTCTAATACTCCCCCACAAGCTCAAGGTGGCTGCAAAGGCTGACTTGAGGCAGACAGGTTGAGCTTGCTGCTGAGCTCCATAAATCTTGAACATGAGAGAGGCTTGGTGAGGATGTCAGCCTTCTGGTCAACACCAGGAATGTGGCAGACAGTGAGAGACTTATTAATCACCTTTTCTCTTACAAAAAAGAGGTCAATTTCCATATGCTTTGTTCTTGCATGAAGAACAGGGTTATGAGCCATAGCAACTGTGCTCTGGTTGTCACAATAGATGGTTGGAGTTGTCAAGGGAATTTTTAGTTCAGCTAGCAAAGTTTGAACCCATAAAACTTCAGCTGTGGTGTGAGCCAAGCTGCGATACTCTGCCTCAGCACTAGAACGAGCAACAACAGTTTGCTTTTTGGACCACCAAGAGATCAAATTAGGGCCTAAGTACACAGCTGACCCAGAGGTGGATCTTCTATCATCTGGGTCAGCAGCCCAGTCAGCATCACAATAGGCTTGCAGAGAGAACGGAACAGTGGAGGCTGGAGTGAACAATAAACCAGAGGTGATAGTTCCTTTTAGGTAGCGCAGAATACGCTTGACAGCTAGCCAATGGGACTCCAAGGGGTGTGCCATGAATTGACATACTTTGTTAACAGCATAGCAGATTTCTGGCCGTGTAATTGTTGCATACTGCAGGGCCCCTACAATGGACCGGTAGTGGGAGGCATCAGACAAGGCAGCAGACCCTGTTTTGATGAGTTTGGTGGAGGAAGCCATAGGAGTAGCAACTGGATTGGAATTCTCCATATCAGTTTTGATTAGCAAGTCCCTTAGGTACTTAGATTGAGTGAGAAGGAGATTTCCATTGGACAATTTCTTCACCTCAAGGCCCAGAAAATAATCCAAGTCACCAAGTTGTTTGAGAGCAAACACATGATTTAATTGTTGAGTAACTTGCTTGATGAGAGGAGGGGAGTTTCCTGTGATGATTATATCATCAACATAAACCAGCATATAAATGACAGCATTGTGATGCTTGTAGATGAAAAGTGAAGTATCACACTTGCTGTTTAGAAAGCCAAAGGATAAAAGAGTGGTTTTGAGTCTTTCAAACCATTGCCTCGGGGCTTGTTTTAGGCCATACAAGGCCTTGTGCAAGTGACAAACCAGAGATGAATTAGGGGCAGTAAATCCAGGGGGTTGCATCATATAGACCTCCTCTTCAAGAATGCCATTCAAAAAGGCATTGTTTATGTCCAACTGCTGCAAAGGCCAATTGTAAGTTAGAGCAAGAGTCAAAATAATTCTAATTGTGACCGGTTTAATAACAGGGGAGAAAGTTTCATTAAAGTCAAATCCATGGACTTGATGGAACCCCTTAGCAACAAGCCTAGCTTTGTACTTATTTACTGTCCCATCAGCATTTTCCTTTACACGAAAAACCCACTTGCAGCCTATTGCTTTCCTGTTAGCAGGCAGTGGTACCAAAGACCAAGTGTTGTTCCTTATCAAGGCACCATACTCCTCTTGCATAGCAGCAAACCACTTAGGATCTTGGAGAGCAGTTTTAACACTCTTAGGCTCAGAATTGACAAGAAAAATGGAAGGATTTAGACGAGGTAAGGGTACACCAGATTTAGTTCTAGTAGTCATAGGATGAGTATTGGTGGGGAGAGGCTGAAGGTTAGGATCCCTAGGAGCATAAATAGAGGAGGAGGATAGTGAAGTGGTAGTAGTAGGCTGATTGTTGGCATTTGAAGAGGGTGAAGGAGTAGGATTGCTGACCCAGAGGCAGTAGGTGTGGGGCTGGAATTGGATTGGGAAGAAGAAGAGGAGTGTGAGACAATAGGTGTGGGGCTGGAATTGGAGTGAGAAGAAGAAGAGGAGTGTGAGACAATAGGTGTGGGGCTGGAATTGGATTGAGAAGAAGAAGAGGAGTGTGAGGTAGTGGAAGCAGTAGGAACGGGAAAAACATGAGGGAGAGCTTGTGTGTTAAGGGTTACTTTAGATGAGGAGGAGGATGGAATGGTTGATGAGGGGAGAGAAACATTAGAGGAAAAAAGATCATTGTAAGGAAATTTGGACTCGTTGAAAAGAACATCTTTAGAGATGAATATTCTACCACTTGGAGAGAGACATTTGTAACCTTTGTGAGCTGTAGAGTACCCTAGAAAAAGGCACTCGTGGGATCTAAAGTCAAATTTTTGAGAGTTGTATGGGCGAAGGAGAGGAAAACAAGCACACCCAAAGACTTTAAGGAATTTATAGTCAGGATTTTGATTGAAAAGGACAGCATATGGTATATGTTGATTGAGAGACATGGTTGGTAACCTATTTATTAGGTAGACAGCGGTTAAAAAGGCATGGTCCCAAAATTTGAGAGGTAAAGAGGCATGACTCAAGAGGGTTAAACCAAGATCAACAACGTGTCTATGCTTCCTCTCCACTACACCATTTTGGTGATGAGTGTGAGGGCAAACTAGGCGATGAATAATGCCAAGATCAGAAAGAAACTTTGTAAATGGGCGAAATTCACCACCCCAATCAGTTTGGACAGATTTAATAGGAAATCCAAATTGTAATTCAGCCATGACTTTGAATTGTTTAAAGATAGTTAAGGCTTCAGATTTATTTTTGAGCAAATAGATCCAAGTAAATCTGGTGTATGCATCAACAAAGGTGATGTAGTAGGTAAAGTTTTGGGAGGATTTGACTGGGGCAGGACCCCATAGGTCACTGAAAATTAATTCAAGAGGAGAGTGATATTGAGTTTGTGACTGAGGGGAGTGCAGCCTATGTGCCTTTCCCATACAGCAGGCAGAACAAAAGATAGATTCAGCTTTATTAGAATAAGGAATATTACATTGAGCTAAAACAAGTCTCATAGTATTAGAATTTGGATGACCAAGGCGTAAATGCCAAGTATGTTGAGAATTATATGAGTTATTAGCTGATACATTTTGATTAGAAACTGAAACCCTATCACTAGTGCTGGAATCAGATCTTGAAACATGAGCATTAGAGTCTAAGGTGAGACATGAGACTTGACTTGTTGAAGGAGACTTAAGAAGCTGAAGATGGGAAAATTGGTACAGGCCATCACTTCCTACACGACCTTGGAGCAGAATTTCATTGGTAGCCTGAGATTTGACATAGCACATATCAGCATGAAACTCAAAGAAAACTCTATTATCAAGACAGAATTTGCTGACACTTATCAGGTTCTTTGTAATAGAAGGAACAAGCAGTAAATTATGAAGAGCTAATGGAGTGTTAGGTTTAGAATGAGAAGGAAAATAAGAAGAGCCTGAAGAGTGAATGTGCAAACCTTGACCGTTACCAATGAAGATCTGATCAGGACCTTCAAAAGGTGTGGTTTGCTGTATGTTTTGAGAGGCATTGGTAACATGATAAGAAGCTCCTGAGTCTGGGAACCAGGCACTGCTTGGAACTGAAGTTGTGTTAGCAATCATAGCATTGGGAGTGATATGTGACTGAGGAACAGGGAGAGGGGCAAGTCTTGGTTGATAGCTTGGGCGTGACCGAGTGTTAACCATGGGCTGAGCAAACTGAGGTCCACCAATTGGTTGATACGGATAGAAATTTTGTAGGTTCATTGTTTGAAAATCAGCAGGTATGTTAGGTTGAAATTGTTGATTGAACCTATGATAGCAGTTAGCAGCAAGATGACCATATTTGAAGCAAACTTGACATTGAATGTTGCTGAACCTACCTCTCCCACGGCCGCGTCCACCACCACGGCCAGCTGCACGGCCTCCTCTTGAATAGGTTGGATTAAAGGTTGAATTCACAGCTTGTTCATTGTTCTTGTTATTCGAGTTATCAGTTTCAGGTTGAGAATTGGCTTGAGTGAGATTCACTGAGGCAGCCACCTCCATTTGTGAGTGTTTCTTATACTTGTTGTATCTCATCTCATGAGCAAGAAGAAGAGCTTCAACTTCTTCAAGTTCTACTGAATCAAACTTGCTTTCAATAACTGAAATAACAGAGGCAAAGTCTTGAGGAAGACCTTCAAGAATCACATCAATGTGTTGCTGATCTGGAACTGGATCTCCTACTGAAGCAAGCGCGTCAACAAGAGCTTTGATGCGAACCAGATAATCACCAACAGATTTGTCTTCAAGTGTTGTAGATCTGAGTTCCGCTCGTAGTTGTCTTGCTTTCGCACGTGTAAGCTTTTGAAAATGCGCAAGAATACGTTCCCAGAGCTCGTAGGAATGAACGCATCCAAGAACACGTGAAAGAATTGAAGGTGAAAGCGTGGATTGAAGCCACGTCATAAGCCACTGATCTTGCGTAATCCAGGTGCGATACGCAGGGTTCTCACGAGCAGCGGCACGATCTTCATCAGTCAGGTATTGATTCGGTATGTCACGAAGGTAAAGGTAGTTTTGAAGATTGTTCGCGTTAACGAAAGGATCTACTTGTTGGCGCCAAAGTAGGAAATTCTTCTCATCAAGTTTTTCTGTGATTTTGAGTTGGAAGGACATAGATGTTGGGGTGGCCGGAGCTGTAGTTACTGGAATCGCTGCCATGGATAGAACCGAAGCTCTATGATACCATATTAGAGTGAGATATGAGAGAGAAGAGAGAAAAAGCTAAAAGAGAAAAGAGAGAAACAGATTCTGTTATTGCTTAATTGGAAAGGAGCATTATGCTCTATTTATACAAGAGGAGATGAACATTCAAGAGTTGAATCATTCAAGCTCTACAATTAAGGAAGACTTTTCTTATTCTATTAAATTAAGGCTGGACTTAATTATTCTATAGTGCTGATTATTCATATTCTAAGATATAACTCTAATAAGGGGAACATAAGTAGGTGCAATCCAAGTATATGTATTTTGTAGTGTTAGAATATAACAATAATGGGCCCATTTGTTTTGGCTTTTTGTAAAATGATTTTCATAGTGTTACATAATTGTGTAAACAAATTTACAAAGAAACTTTTCATAAAAGCTTCAATTGAAAATTTGATTTGAATAGTTGTTCTTAAAATGTTATTTTAGGTATTTCATTTTCTTATTGAAACTTTTTTTGGATATCAAAATTTCAAAAAATCACTTAATTTTGAAGCTATTTCAAATAGATTTTCATAAAAATCATTTTTGAAATACAACTTTTTTTAAAAATTACGATTTTAACTATGTGTTGGTCTTCAATAATGTATGTTTATGTTATAGAATGTCAAAATTAGTGTTTCAATTTAGAAAAAACAAATATAGAAAAACTTCTAATATTTTGAAAAACGGTTTTGGAAAATTTATTTTAAAAAATACAAAGAAAAAATCCATTTTTTTAAAGCTGAAACAAATAGGCCCAATATCTTATCATTATTCATTAATTACTTTTATTATCATAATTCATTCGGTGATATAGGTTATATGTCAACTAATTACAAATGAAATATACATCCCATCATGCAGGGTGCCTACAACAGTGATTTACATTGATAATCAATGAATGTTTAGAGGTTCTGCAAGTAATTTTGCCTTTGTAATAAGAGCTGAAACTGGTATCTTTGATATAAAAATAACTAATAAAAAGGGAATCAAGAAAGGGTACGAAATATTTATCTTAAAAGGGAAATGTAGAAAAGCAGACTAAAGCATTAGTTAACATAGAACTCTAAATAGATCATCCAAAAGTTTGACTTACTCGTCATATGCCTGAGCCCAATTATTCGAAGAGTCTTCCCCGAAGGCTCCTTCACCAACCTGCTGACCAAATTCCTCTGCCCAGTCATTAACACGTAAGTTTGAGAATTCATCAACCCACTGGTCATCAACTGCTCCATTTTGTTGTCTTTCAGTTGCAAACTCTTTCGCCCATTGTTCAGGTCGAACTCCGGAAAAAGCCTTCAATCCACAAATCAGTGTCCAAAATTAGAGAAAAAGGATTCATCAATTAGTTAATCCTACTGTTGCGCTAAGACTCAACTCTCAACTTTAATAAAGTTTAAATGAAATCTAGGTACAGAAACATTCAGTACTGTATTCAAAAGATTACCCAATGGCTTGTTCACAACGAAGTAGGCATGCACAAGTAAGAATGCTAGTAAGTCTATGATGTTTAATGTCAGTAAACAAAAACTACATCCTGATAAATCTTAGTTTTTTTAACTTAATATAAGCCAATCAATAAAAAACTTGCAAGGAAGTATTGTTTCCTGCTTGTTGAACATGCCTTATTATTTAAGAATTCACCAGCCCATGCATCACCGTGATTATATTGTTGCTGATATTCTGATGCCCAATCTCCAGGTGCAGGTAATGCAGTCTCTTTAACTTGATTTTCATCGATAATCAACTCACCGCGGCTCATCTTTGATACAAATTGAAAGAACTTTGAGTTCTGCATGCCAAAACAATATGTTATCGAAATTTTATATTCAGGTTTCATAAAAGAGGAAAGAAAAGCTACAAGAGGCTTAAGATATTTTGCACGGCAAGGACACAATAATAATGCACAGTAAAGCTAAGCTCATTAACACAAAGATTGTCATTCTCTCCATGATAATTTTGCATCAACAATAAACTCCAGAAAACTACGACATGAACAGTAAATCAGCATAGAGGTTTTCCCTCGATCTTGTAATCTACATTTTCGTTACCATAATCTCACAAAAAAGTTACAAAAATTATTGAAATTCTAACCTTCTTTAATCTCATCATAATGTACTGGATTGCAATTACTTACATGCTTGTGCAATAGAACTTTAACAGTTAAGTGCAGTGGATAAACCTGAAATTTAGGGTCAGCATTCTGGGCCAGTGTGTTTGCAAGCATACGAGTCTGCTCCATTGCAGCAATATTTTGCATGTTCATACCTCGCATTTGATCTACTGATGACAATTGAGACTGAGATGTAACAAAGAAAAAAACAATATCAACATAATGATAGAAAGTAGATTAAAAATAATATAGATGCAACATTGAGATAAATTAATAGAACATTTGCAAATACCAGTATAATCCTAACCCACAGACACCAGCATCAAGACTGGTGTACAAGAAAGCGTCGCATCAAAGACTATTATGGGGACACACACAGACGCATGGTTGCGCGCATAAAAACCAAAAAAAAAAAGTGTCTTTTCGCTTGTTTACTTGGATCCTACCCATTTTCAACATTCTGATTGAAATTATAATAATCTCAACACGATAGAAATCAAACTGTGACTCTGCCAGAGATATTCTGAAGCCGTTCATCACACGGCTCCTTCTTTTGATGCTGTTTGCTGGGTTCAAGAGATGGACACCAACATCAAGACTAATGAAGAAATAGTATGAAGAATTATTTTGGAAGGAAGCTAGTGCTGAAGTAAGGGTAATGTTGATTCAATTGTGAAAATGAAAGTAAAAGGAATAGCCATACAGTGGTGGAAGTAACATTTTAGGCTAGGAAACCCTAAAATTTAAACCTGTTAATCAATGGAGGCCAAACTCAGGAAGCAGTTCTCACCGACTAATCGTAAGATGTATTTATTTGGAAGATTAACTGGACTGGCCAGAAATAGGTATTCCATGACTAACATTATTTTAAATTTAGAGTTTGTGCAGCTTTGACTGATAAATATGAGAGCAAAGCATAACAAGTTTCCTCAACAAAGATAAAGGATTTGAAATGCATATTATTAATAAGTTATATACCGTGCTTACGTACATATATGTGTGACACAGAGAAAATCAAAGTTATAGCTAGAAATAGAACAGTGGAGAGTTCTCACATGTTCAAATTCAGAGACCCAACCATTTACACCATGTTGTTGCTCGAATGAGTTAGCCCAAGCATCAGGATTATCATATCTTTCCCTATTTTGACTGAATTCAGAAATCCATCCATCTGAAGCATGAGCACCTTGTATCACATTGCCTTGAGACTCGTTCCAATAATCATCAAGCTCCCTAAATCTTTCAGGCATAGGCCCCTTGCCACGAACGTTGCTGTCAATATCTAGAGAGGACAGAAGAGCATTTACCTAAAAAGTAATACATGTGATAAGTCTAGAGATACACAATAAAGACTCACTTTTTCTCTCAATGACAAGTTCAATTTTCAGAGCATAATGTTCGTACGCCCATAAATAACTGAATAAGCGGGAAACAAAAGTAAGCGGAAACTAAATGAAGGTATCTATGAAATTCCTTACTTGGGCATGGATAAATTCTTCGCTTTTATCTGCAAAGAGATGTCTGGCCATTATGCTGCTACGGTCACGTATACATTGTTTATCACCTTCAGATAGACCCAATACTGGAAGAGAGGTGGGATGGAAAGGTATTCCACCACGACTGCTGTCAAGAAATGAGTGCAAAAAGGTAGAAAGAACTCTTTGCGGTGTCCCTGAGTTGTTGCAAAGAAAACAACATCAATTGGATATTTCTTATTTTATGTTAACCCTCTCAAAGCATCAAAATAACATGGCAGCAATTTTATGCCTCTCCTTATAAGTGTTTCAGTTATAATGGGTGTTTGGAAGAGCTTATTTAAACTTGACTTACAGCATAGGCATTTCTTTATAAAACATGTGCTCATAAGCTCCACATAATAGCTTACAGAAATAAAATATACAAAGTGTATGCAAAGATTTTCCTCAATCCCACTCCGACGAAAATAATACAATAGCAACAACAACCAAGTCTTATCCCACTAAGTGGGATCGGCTACATGGATCAAATTCCTCCATAATGTTCTATCCAATACCATATTTCTATCCAATTCGTTAAAAGGCTCTTAATGCCCATGTTTATTAGAGTAGTCATAGTATACTCAAGTGTAGAGCAACTAAATAAGCTAGGAGAACTAAGTCTCAAGCCTGTAACTAACTGAGCTGAGTCAGTAACTGTATATATACTCAGCTCTAACTGAGTTTGTAACTAACTTTCCCATAATGAATCTGAGTTCATAACAAACTCTATCTCTCTCTCTTCTCTCTCAATCTACTCTGCATTTATCATTTTCTAATAATGTTTACTCAAACACGGCCTTAAATCACAAAACAAGACAACTCAGAGAAGAAATGAACTTTGAAATTACCATCCAATGCAGGTTGATGAAGCTGTGGTGGAAGCTGTCCCCTACCATCATAGAGCTGAAGTTGACTTCCATCACGTTGAATCTCACCCCACGTTTCCTCAAACCCAGCCGCACCCGCAGATCTAAATCTATTAATAAACTCCGAACCCTACACAGTCCCAAAATCCATATTCAGATTCAAATAAATAAACGGACCAAATTCATTCAATCATTCATGCAAACATATACAAATCAACCAATACACACATCATATAAAACATAGTTCTGAAATCAGAACCCTACGCGGTTCCAACATTCATATCCTAATTCAAATAAATAAACAAACCAAATTCATTCAATTTTGATACAGGTCAACCAATACACATACATAAACATAAAGCACAATTCTGAAATCAGAACCCTACACCATTCCAAAATTTACATTCAAATTCATATAAATAAACAAACAAACAAAATTAATTCAACCATACATTCAATTTTGATACAATTCAACCAATATACACACACAAAGAATAACTCCAAAATCGAAACCCTGCACTATTCCAAATTCGTATTCATATTCAAATAAATAAACAAACAAACAAACTCACTCATTCATTCATTCATTCATTCATTCAATTGTGATACAAGTCAACCAATATGGACACACGGAGCATAATTCCGAAATCCAAACCCTACACTATTCCAAATTCGTATTCATATTCAAATAAATAAACACACCAAACTCACTCATTCATTCATTCATTCATTCAACTTTGAGACAAGTCAACCAATATACACACAAAAAAGCATAGTTCAGAAATCCAAACCCTACACTATTCAAATTCGTATTCATATTAAAATAAACAAACAAACCAAACTCACTCATTCATTCAATTTAAACACAAGTCAACCAATACACACACATAAACATAAAAGCATAATCCCAAACCCTACACCGTTGCAAAAACCAATCAAACAAAAATTCATTCAACCAATACACGCACATAAAGCATAATCCCGAAATACAAACCCTACACTATTCTAAATCCATATTCAAATAAACAAACAAACAATTCACTCACTCATTCATTCATTCCATTTAAACACAAGCACCCAATACACGCACATGAACATAAAGCATAATTCCAAACCCTACACCATTACAAAACCCAATCATAATTCAAATAAACAAACAAACAAACCAAATTAACTACTCCACTAATCCATTCAATTAATATACTAAAAAAACGTAATCCAAACCTGAGAATTAGCCTCGATAAAAGGTTTATCGAATTCCGAACCAGGAAGCTGATTAAGAGGCTCAGAGTAAAATTGTGATGCCGAACCAGTGGAATTCGAACTAGGAATTTCCCTCACCCTCTCCTATACAACAACAATCAATCAATTCAATTCGATTAATCATGAACAAAATTGAACAATAACAACTAGTTGAATCGAATTGAATACGAAAACGAGTTTGTTAGGTTAGGTTACCTGAGTTTTGGATAAAGAACCGGTGAGAACGTTCGCGAAAGAAGCGAGAGGGTTTTGCGAGGAAGATGAAGCGGAAGGATCGGGGCAAGAAGTAGCACCGGTGATAAGATCGCGCATCGCCATGTTCAAACTAATTTAACTAACTTATAACTAACTTTTTTTTCGAATCTGAAATGAATTTTGATGAGTGATAGTGTTGTTGTTGATTCGGGTTTTTTTCTTTTCTTTTCTTTTCTATCACTCGTCAAAAGGGCTTTTGTTGCAGCTCGTGCTGCTGCTGCTGTTGTCTTTTCTTCCTCTCACCGTTTGTTTTTCTTATTTTGTTTATTTGTTTATCTCTGATGTGTGTGCATAGTAATGCTGGTTTAGAAATAGTTATTTTCTAGGTAACTGTGTGCTTATATTTCATCAAAAAAATGCGAGTATTTAAAATTTTTTTTTTTTGTTGATGTTTTTAATTAAATGTGAATGAATAAAAAACATATGAGTATTTTTCTAGAAGAAAATATATCAAATACCTATTTTTATGTATAAAAATTGGGTCATGCTATAATTTAAAAATAAATATATAATAATATTATATTTAAAATTTTAAAATATTAAATGCATGCGGTTCAATAAAATATTTTTATAAATAACTTATTAAAATGTATCCTAAAAATACATTTTAGCTTTTTCATACAAATTTATTATCACACAATAATACTCACACTTGATAATTGCAAATCAAAATTAGGATAAAGTACTTTTTACATAATTTTAATTTATTACATTTTACATAAAATTATTTCATCTTTAAATTTTTTTTTACGTCTAATGCAACTTTTGTTCCATTAACTTTATTTTAGGTTTTATTTTCTTCTTTTATTTAATAAATATTTATTTTAAACCCCTCAAATCACTATTTATTATTTATATTTATCATTTATGTTAATTTTTGTAAAAAACTATTAACTTTTTATAGTTGGTATCATTTTGGTTGACAAGGAATTATATTAATTGACTTGAAATATTTATTTCATTAAACAATAATTTAGAATAAAAAATAATAAATGATGAAACATAGTATTTATTAGAAGTTGAAACATTGCAAGCCCTAACTCTTTATTCATTCTCACTTCTAAATACAAGACATAGCTCTTTTTAGTTTCATTACATGCAACCAAGAGACGAAATCCATAATTCAAAGAGCTCACAAAGAAACGAATTGCATTCGAAGCTAAGATTGTTGTTATTCATCTTCCTCGCGTTTGAAGACTTCGTTGAATCAATATATCTTTAACATGTATGGATAATCAACTCTAACTTGTTAAAAATGTAAACTTTTTTCTTTATCCATTTCCCTTACTGCTCTTTCTACATTGTTTAGCTTCAATAGATCATGGATAGGAGGTTTGAGTGTATTGTGCATCATGGGGGAGTTTATTAAGTTTACCAAGTTAGGTTACAAATGGTTAGATGAGGTTTTGAATATTGATCCTGGTTATTGAAGTTATTTTGAAGTTTTAAGTGGTTTAAAAGATTTAGGTTACCTAGCTATGGATAACCTTTGGTATTACGATGAAATGAATTTTGATAAGATTGTTTAGCTGAAAGATGATTTGGGAACTAGGAGGATGAAAACTATTTCAATGTTGATTGGGACCGTCCATTTATATGTTATTCATCTATTGCCACAATCTTACATTATTGAGGAGTCAACATTTTCCCTATAATACAATGTGGTAGTACCCAATGATAATGATGGTGAAACTTAGAGGTCTACGTCGATGATAATATAGTCAAGACTATTGAATGGCACATCCACATAGAAGATTTTGAGGATGTCTTATAGTCAGTCAGGACATACAATATGCGCTTGAATCCAGCCGAGTGCTCTTTCGGGGTTCAAGCGGGAAATTTCTCAGGTTTCATGTTGACCATGATATGCATTAAGGCCAACTCGGATAAGTGCCAAGCAGTCATCACCATGTAAACCATTAATTCGAAGAAGGTACAATAGCTTACATGTCATCATGTTACCCTATCTCGCTTACTTTCCTACGCATGCGACAAGGCATTCCTCTTTTTCGTCGCCCTAAAGAAAAAAGAGAAATTTAAATGGACCGCCGAGTGTAAAGAGGCTTTCACCAGGGAAAAGAACTCCATCACATCACTCCCCATCCTTACACGCCTGAGGGAAGAGTCGCCACTACTCCTCTGTCTCTCGATTACATATTAGGCAATGAGCTCGCACCTTGTCCAAGAGATAAATATGATGAAGATGCATATCCCTATGGGGAGATTGTTGCATGTCTCTATCACATGCACATGAAGCATCCCCAATATGGTTATTTTGTTGGTTTTCTTATCGATTTCGTTTATTATCGTTTATTGAGTCTCCCTCATGATTGCACATCCTTTGAAATAATTTAAAATCGATTCATTATTCATTTTAGCATGCATAAAATAATGGTTATGTTAGAAGTTTATCAAGATGATTTTAGTCAATTGAATGAGTTGGTGGAATAAAAACTATATGTGCTTTTTTATTCAAGTTAGGTGCAAAGAAAAATCTCAAAGTACTCGTGCAAACATGAAAAATTGAGATTTTGTGTGTTTGGTTCGAATCAATCAAATTAAGCACACATTTTGATTCAAATCAAATCCAACAGGGGTGAATTAAAGCTTTCAAACAATTTTATTCGAAACAAGTTTCGTACATGATTTGAATCATGCAATTTTCTATCACATCTGCTCAATTTGATTTGAATAACATAGTTTTTAAACATTTTTATTAAGGGCTTAATGCAGTTGATTTGAATCATATTTTGTACATGATTCAGATCATGCGGTTTTGATTCGTATCATGCCTTGTACTTGATTTAAATCAAGCGAAAAATGGGTCAAAATTTTGAATTGCTTTTATACCATTGACTTGCTCATTTGACTCAAATCATGCATTGTTCTTGATTAGAGTCTAACTAACTTTTACCACTCATTTTTGTGTTTAATCTCAAGCACATATAAATCATTTTGTCAACACTTTTCATGTAATGAATTTCATATTTGTTGTGTGATTGTCTGTGAAATCAACTCTCATTTTGAAAAAGTTCAAAACACTTGCATTTGAATTTCTTTCATCTTTAACCTCAATTTTATTTTCAGACTTGATAATGAGATATTTGTGATTGATTTGGGGAGACATTATTTTGAAACTAATAATTCTTGAAGATTAGGTGAAGATTTTTAGGTTCTTGCAAGTTTGAGGAGTTGTCATTGGTGCTGACAAATTCCAATGTGAAAAGAAGGAGGTTATTCTCTCCAGATTACCTTAGTAATGATTGTGTGTAAGACTACGAATAAGGCGACGTTCTTCTCAAATATTCAGACAATTCATCGCTCAAGATATTGGTAGGATCAAAGAGTTGATTGCTACAGACGAAGGCTTAGAGCAGAATTAGTGATATTAGAAGATTCATGAAGCGTTAATCGAGTAGAGATTGTGTGAGAGAGTTTGGTGTGAATTTGTATATAAGTCAAGATCTAGATAAAAGATTCATATTTCTTCACCATTATTGTGGATTAGTGATAGTATAAACTCTTGGAATATTTGTCAAAACAAAAGGAATTATGTAGGTTCTGATGGGAAATCATTGAAAAGTGCACATAGACTCGCGCGAGAAAGGTAGAGTCAAAGTACTATAAATCTCGGTGTCTTCTCTCTCTCTCTCTCACACACACTTTTGCATTTAAATTTCTTAATATATTGCATACTCAGATTTTCAATTCTTAGAGTATTTTATCATTTATTTCACTGATAATGATTTATTGCTTAAGATTAGGTTTTGTTGGACTCGGTACCTAATTGAGTTTTAGCGGTGATTAAAATCTGAGAAACTTGTTGAGATTAGAATTTGTGAATTAAATTATTGTATAATCACTTCTCTTGAATTATACGAGTGGTGTCGATTGAATACACTGTGTATCATTTTTAGTTCAATTTGTGATATTTGTGAAGTGATTAAGTGTTTACGTGATTTAAATTAAATTCAAGTATAATTTACTTTGTTTCGCCCTAAAACATTTATGCACACATCGTATTCAAACTTCATGTTTTCAAAATCATGCACATCACAGCGGAATAATTCTTTACTCAAATAATAATAATAATAATAATAATAATTATTATTATTATTATTATATCCATACTATAATCATAAATTCTCATAACAAGTCATGGATCTAAAATCATTAGGCACTGAGGCCACTCAACATAAACTCTCAACATACAATTCAAATAAGAGAAATAACAACATCTCTTCAAATAAACACGAGCTCCCCCCCCCCCCCCCCCCCCCCGGTGTTACATAGACCAGAGCAATGACTCACTACCTAGGGATAAACGGATATATAAGGATCTAACTCCTCTGACTAATCCTGACAAGTATCACCGCTATCCTCGGTATATGTGCGATATCGCATAGAACATCATTACATTAGAAGGGTGAGAATTCACATCATTATGGATATATATAATATAAACAATGTATATAGCACGCATACATTCTAAGAATTCATCACACTTCATATAATTATCTATACAACACGGCTTCACCAATACAAGTACCAAGACAATTATATCAAAGTAGAATAATTCACACAATCATCACATACATTGCAATCATCACCAAAGTCACGGTTAAACCAATTATCACACACATTACACATTCAAAGTAAAACATCACATAACAACAAATACGACTCCAATGCGACTCATGTATGTTTAGGTTCAAGAGACCTAGTGGTGTGAGATTACACTGACAATAATTGATGATGATGTGTTTAGGTTTGAAAGAATTAATGACGTGGCCTTACACCAACAATAATTGATGATGTTGTGTTTAGGTTCGAAAGAATTAGTGACATTTAAGACTTTTGTTCAGTTACAATGGTTAAAGTTGAAGGATTCTGGATGACAACTTGTATTGTTTGTTGAACTCATGCAAAAAAACAAGGCGAAACATGACAAAAATATTAGATGATGCTGACCTATCTTACAAAAAAATGCGGACAAAACAAACATACTCGACATCCTGAACCAGTTTTATCACCCCTAATTTAATCTTCCTTCGATATCATCACCACCAATATGAAATATAAACATTCTAATTCTAACAATTGAAATTTCCTAATTTACAACTCATAAATAAAATAATAGATTTTCATATATAAAATAAATTTCGAGACAACAAAGATAAACTATGAATCTCATTAACAACATACATACAACCACGTCAGATTCGCCTACACATTTGACCAATATTTTACAAAATCATAAATAACTTCTTTATTTACATTTAAAATTAAATTAAAAAATAAGTTTAATAGATATATATTAATTTTACATTATCATTTAATTATAAATTAACAGTCAATTATATTATTAAAATAAATTAAAAAAAATCATATTAATAATCGTAATCAATTAACAATATAAGATTAATTTATACAACTCATCATCTATTTTCTTTAAAAAAAAATCACCGTGAATAAAAATCACCGTGAGTACCACTTTTTTGCATTGAAAAAGATCATATCTAATATAAAAAGAAAAAAAGAAGAAAATTAAAATTCTTACCGCACCACATCGCCAACCATTCATTATATCATTTATCGTATCTTCATATTGATTGAAGAGAAGAGAATAGAGATTGATGGGCCCACACATCGCCACGTGTAACCTTCTGATTCGTATTATCAAAGACGGTGGGGACTTTTCCAACTCTCACAAGGGTTTTTCTTTTCTCTCCCATTTCTTTCCATAACTTCACAACACTCTCTTCCTTATCGCACTTCAGATTCAGGTTTTCATCTTCTTCAATCTTCTTCTTCGTAATTTCGATTTTTCGTTTTCGTTTCTCTATCTTAGTTTTTTTGCTTGTAATCGATGATTCTGTTAATCTGAATCGGTGAATTTTCTGTGAATTTTTGTATATATTATAACCTAATTATTATTGTTATTCGATTTTGTTTCTTTCAGTTATCTTGATTTGTTCGCTCATGGCTTCCAATTCGCAAAAGGATATTCCGTCTGGTACGTATCTATAATTGGCGATGATATTTTTGCTGGATTGTTATTTGTTAATTTCACAATCGGTTCAAAATTTGTATTCTGATTTCAATAGATGCGTTCTGATTATGATTTTTGTTCATCAGAATCAAAATTACTAGACGAGTTTGATGATTTTTGTAGTAAATCGCCAAATTAACTTCTCTAGGATGTTCAGAAATTGGATTAGTAGGTTGCAAGGCCGGATATCAAGATTTCAAAAAAAAGATGTTCTGAAATAGTTTCCTGAGCACCACACTAAAAAGTGTCAGTGCTACAAAGCAGGAAACTATTTCAGAAGTGTTTCAATGTCCGAAACCGATAAGCACGGGCACTTCTGAAAAAGTGTTTCAGTGTATGAAACCGATAAGCACGAACTCTTTTGAAAAAAAAGTGTTTGTGTCCGAAACCGATAAGCACGGACACTTCTGAATAAAAGTGTTTCGGTGTCCGAAACCAATAATGACACTTGTGATTATGATTACTTTATTCATTTTTATCCAAATTATTATCGGTGTCGACATGTTAGGGTCGTGTTTTGGATGTTTGTGCATTTTCTAGGGTGATATGAATATTTTGAAAAGGTCTGACTCTATTAAAGTGTCTAGTTGGTCTCTATATTTAACAAGTTAATATCAATTTAGTTCCTATCATTACTCTCAAATGATTGATATGACTAAAATTTGTTCGGAGTTAGGGTCCGTTGGGAAATATTCACAATCTCAGATACCTCTATTCGTGAGTTTCCTACAAAGTTAGGGGTGAAAGTGTCCTCTTATGTATTTTTATTTACATGGTAATTTAGTTATATGGATAATATAATGGGAAGTACTTTAGACACTTATCCTTTACTTAGGGTGTACTGCAAGTAGCTACCTTTGTTTAAATCTAATGATATTTTACTAATTTCACTCCTCTTTTGGAACTTTTGATATTTATTAATTTATGTGCTTTAATTTTACACTTCGTTAATTTTTTAGATGACAAAGCTGGTTCAGCAGAGAATAAAATTTCCAAAGATGAAGCAACCGCTAAAGCAACTCCTGGGGCTGGGGCTGGGGCTGTGCCTGGGGCTGGGACTGTGCCTGGGGCTGTGCCTGGGGCTGGTTTTCCAGCTAACCCTTTTGATTTTTCAGCAATGAGTGGTCTGCTCAATGTAAGTAGTTATTTCCTTTTTTCCATTATTTTCTTTAAATGTGTGGTTTGCTGTATTTATTGATAATGAAGCTGTGGTAATTTTTAATGAGTTGAGTATGATTGCATGTGTACTTTGAGTATGCATTTTTGTTTATGTACTGCATGTTTTTACAAGGACTGGCCATACGTCAGGTTTTGTGCACTTGCAGCCTATGTCGGATAATGATTATAGGAATAAGTTGTAAGGAAAAAGTTTAACATTTTTCTGATCCTCACTGTTGCTAGTGAGCGTTCGTTGGGATTTCATACTCTTTTCCTTCAAAGCTTTCCATATTACGAGCTTGTCGACAGTAGTTGCTGCTAATTTGAATATGATTGTGGCAGATAGCATCATCCCTTATGTAATATATCTGTATTAATCTTTTAAAGATTGTTAATGAGATTTGTTGAAGAGTTTACCATATGGGATGTCATTTGTCAGATCTAAATCCTGAAGCACCAAGGTGTATTAGTATTTCATTATGTAGACTTAAAGATATTTCTAATGGCAATATGTTATAGGATCCAAGTATCAAGGAATTGGCTGAACAAATTGCCAAAGATCCATCGTTCAATCAGATGGCTGAACAACTTCAGAAAACTTTGCATGGAGCAACACAAGATGGTGTCCCAAGTTTTGATAATCAGCAGTATTTTTCAACCATGCAACAGGTCATGGAGAATCCTAATTTTATGACCATGGCTGAGCGCCTGGGGAATGCATTGATGCAGGTATTTATAAAACTTCTTTATTATGTTTGTTACAGACATCTACTGGTTGTTACAATGCATATGCTGTCTATCACAGGACCCATCTATGTCTTCCATGCTTGAAAATTTTACCAATCCGTCAAATAAAGATCAGCTCGAAGAGAGAATGGCACGCATCAAAGAAGATCCATCTTTGAAACATATTTTAGATGAGATAGAGACTGGTGGTCCCGCTGCAATGATGAGGTTTAAATACCATTTTAAAAAAAATCATATTTGATTGTTTTGGCATTTCTATATTTTCACCATAATCTGTTGTTACTTGTTATCTGAATTGGTAATTAGTTTCTAAAGTGTTTCTTTCCATGCAGATACTGGAATGATGAGGAGGTTTTGAAGAAGTTGGGACTAGCCATGGGCATTCCTCCAACCTCTGGAGAGGCAGCTGCCGCATCTGAAAACTCTGGGCCAGATGAAACAGAAGATGTGGGAAACGAAGATGAATCAATTGTTCATCATACTGCTAGTGTAGGTGACATTGAGGTAAGACATATTGACTATTCACTTTATGGTTGAAGTCATTCAAATGAAACTGTCTAAGACAAATTTGTAGTTGTGCTTGAGCGTGAAACTTTTTCGGGTGGAAGGTGCAGATGTGGAAGACATAAGTTAGGTTAAGTTACGCTGAATTTTGAAGAAATGAAGAAGGTTTTGAGTGTAATTGTCTTTCTGTTGGATGTAATGTTAAAATGGATCACAATCAAGTAAATTAGTTATTAGTTTTCCAACTATCTTTCTTTAAGCTTTTCGAAACTTCATATTGGGATACCTTGGAATATCTATCAGTTTAGCATCTAGAGTACGTGTTTCCTCTTACAAATTGGTTATATTACATGTCCTTCTGAGAAAAAAATTCTTATTAGTTTGATCTGACCTCTTCTATACCCTACGATTCCTTGATTTGAAAATAGCATTTTTCTTTTTTAGTTTGTAGTTCCATGCCTGTCATCACATGAGATAATTGTATGATCCGCATAAACCTCAATGCAAGTATTATAGTAACATAGGTCCATTAAATTGGTGCCTTAAAGAAATAAAATAGCTGCTGCGGAAGTCTTTTTACTCCAAAATTAGAACACAGCGCCACTGAATTATTTGAAGCAAGTTTTAGGAGATTTGAAACCATAAATAAACCTTCTCAATTGACTCATATTCCACAGACTCTCTGGGTGACATGTCAAGAGGGATGCTTTATGCCAGTAAAACACAAACTTCTGGGCATCTCCCTATTAACCAATCAATACAGCAGTTACATATTTGATTTGTGTATGCCCTTGTGTAAAGGTTGTATGCCTTATTTTATTGTTAACTTTGAAGGAAATAAAATTTAAAAAGAATTAACACTGCTCCTTTCTTTATTATTGTTTTTATGTTTCATCTATTTAGTTATTCAGTTGTTCAATTCCACCATTGTCTTATTATTTATCGGTACAATTTGAAGACACTTAATGAGAGCTAAACATTTACATTTACACTGATCAAGTAGGGATTGAAAGCTGCGCTAGCCTCTGGTGCTGATAAAGATGAAGAAGATTCAGAGGGAAGAACTGCTTTGCATTTTGCTTGTGGTTATGGTGAGGTATGCTAATATACAGTGAAATATTTCCTCATCTTTATGACACACGCTTCCTTGTTTCTTAGAATTTATATGTATATGTTGTTGGCTAGTACCTTTATTTATAAGCATGATGGAAAGCAAATAAAGGATGTAACGAGGCCCGCGATGTTATTGTTATGTAAAAATGTTATGGCATTGTGATTTTCTCTTACTGCGGTGAACCCAGACACTGCTCATAATGCTGGGTTTGTAAACTTGTACTCCCTCCGTTTCTTTTTAAGTGTCATTTTAGCATAAAGCTCTTCAACCAAGATAGTGGATTATTAGAGTTATTTTTGCTATTATACCCTCATTTATTTTCTCTTTCCAAATAAATTCAATCATACACCATCTCTCTTTTTCCAATAACTAATTGAGAAAATAATTAATTTTATGGAAAATGTGAAGTGGAGTTATTGAGAAAGTAGGGATATAATTGACAAATGATAGCATTAAACTATAAAAACGATATTTAAATAGAAACAAAAAAATTCTTCTAAAACGACACTTAAAAAGGAACGGAAGGAGTAATAGTTTGAGCTACAATTTCTAAATCGTTGCTGACTCAATGATGCCACTACTGGTAACAATGGTGGTTCTGTACTCATTTGGAGTTAGAATATTAGATTAGATTCTAGTATATATATGGATGAACATGCTAGCTCCATCCAGCCCTCTCTTCCTTTAGGGCAGGGTATGTAAGGAAACTGAAACTGAACTCTAAGAATCAGAATTTTATGATTCTAGTTTTGTTTTACCAATTTATGGATTGAAATATGCTCCTGATAATGTTTCAGGTGAAGTGTGCGCAAATTCTCCTAGAGGCTGGAGCTAAAGTAGATGCTTTGGATAAGAACAAGAATACAGCTCTTCATTATGCCGCAGGTTATGGCAGAAAGGAATGTGTGGCCTTGCTCGTTGAAAATGGTGCTGCAGTGTAAGTAGTTTATTTTAGCTTGTGTGTATTGAAAGTCTTCTACTACACTATACATGTCAGTGCTTCCTATATCTTGGTTGTGATTTTCATGTTTTTCGTTGAATTTGCAGTACTCTGCAGAATATGGATGGAAAAACTCCTATCGATGTTGCAAAGCTAAACAATCAAGATGATGTCCTACAGCTGCTCGAGAAAGATGTTTTCCTGTAATTGCAAGGCTTGCACAATGGATGTTATTCCATCAACAAAAAGAAAAGAGGAAACTGAGGGAAAAAACAAAAGCATGATATGGTGACTTTTATTTTCTTTTGAAATCTTCCAATCGTTGTGTTGAACTTAATTAGATACCATAAAATTTGTTAATTGTACACTAGCAACGCATTTGTTTGTTGTTACACTGCTTGATTAGTGCATTAATGGTTTCATTTCCTTTGATACAGTTTTACAATCACTAAATTTCCCTTTGGTAAAGGTCTAGTTTGACGGGTATCTAAAAAAAATGTTGAGAAGCAATAATAATAACCAAACACCCCAAAATGAATGCGCTCAAATAATTAGGAACATCTAAGTGCACCGCTTTTTATTTATGAAATAATTTTTTAGTAGAGGTGAAATTCGAAGATTATCATACTGCACGATATACAATTTAAATATATTGAATTGAATTCATAGTGCAAAATAACAGAAAATTTGGTTGAATGGAGGAGTGTCTCAAATATTTTTATCTAATATGAAGTTTGCTTAAGTTAGAGAGAATGTTGTCAAATAACGGGGAGACAAATAATGTTGAACATAATAAATTGGTAATAAAGTGTTGGTCCGTAAAAATCAACACATAAATTAAGTGTAACATGCATAAGAATATGGCGTAGATTGTGTGATTGTTAATTGTGCGATAAGATTAAAGAAGTTAAGATTGAAAATGACATCATAAGAGAGAGTTAGAGTAACATTAGAGTAACATTAATAATAGAAAAAGATAAAGCTAATTTTTCATTACATCTTTATACATTCTGTGCGCGAATCTTTATACATTCTGTGCGCGAAATATTTAAAGTGTCTCCTGTTTTCGGAGATGTATGCATTAAATTTTATTTAAAATAAAATAAAATTCAAAGATGCACAACCAATTTTTTTTAAGAATGAATTCTGATATATATAAATGAAAATTAAAAATAAATAAACATCAACATCAATATTTCTTTAGATAAAAATATTCTTTACATAAATAGTTAGTACATAATCGACGGATCTTTGGATTTTCACATTCACTTAAATTCCTATGATTCATTACAAGGAAAAGTACTCCACATAACTTTTAAATTTTCATCCGTCTTCAGTTCAAAGTTGGTAAAATAGACATTTTTCTCGCTGTTAAAAAAGGTGACTAGTATTCGAGCTTGAAAACTCTGTAATTTTTTGGAAAGTGCAAGAGAGTATTGAGTTTAGACATCAGATCTGAGAAGAATGTTTTCCCGGTGATCCTAAACGAAAGTGGCGGTTTCACGCCATTGAAATACATAAATGTAAGGTGAGGATATGAATTCATTCTCTGATTTTAGTGTGTTTTGTAGCAAATAAGGGTTGAGACACGCCATATTTATACAAGTATAGAGTCACTTTGGACCTTAAAAACTTTATCATGTATTAGGTAACATTTCAAAAATATGTTTTCGAATACACCACAATTTTTTTTTACAAAAAGCGTAATTTCGGAGATGCATATACGAAAATTGAACGAGGTTAATTCGGATGTACATATCCGAAAACTTATCTAAACCAGTGAAAAAATAGAAACTTTATAAACATGCAATGCAGTGTAAACAAAAAAACCATAAAACTAATATGTATTAAATCGTATCAAGATTACATCGTTGACAATAATACATATAAAAGTGTATCAGTTACAATTTAAAATGCATCAAAAGATCTAGTACCACATAAATTCACAATTAATTCCACCTTCGAAGATTCCTTATTTGATTCTCTTCCAAGCTCCATCAATTTGGTGAACTCTATCATCCTCTTCATAAATTGATCCGGTCATGTTTTCGCCTCTTTTGTTGAATATTTCTCCGTCCACTGGTTTGATATAGCTGGAATTGGACACCTAAATTTTAAATAAACCTGAACAAAATGTAGGTCCTTTGAAAGAAACCCTATGCACATGATGCTCCAACATCGTTTTTAGGCGGACCACTCTGTGGTGAAAAAAATGTCTATGATAATCCATATCTTGTCAGATCGATACATAATTTGTTATATGCACTAGCTATAGATGATCTATTTTAGGGAAGCAGATTCATTTTGAAAACGGTGTTTTACCGCTATGACAAGGAATAAGTGCATCTTGGATTGAATTAAAATTTATTTTTGACCCGTATAACTTCGTGTAGATTTCCCTATACATTGCCAACTCTTTCAAAAGTGCGAAGCGAACAAGTACACGATACTCCTCTCCTTTACCAAGCAATTCAGATACAACCCGATAACCGCAATAACCATCATCTTCAATATTCACAATCTGCTCAATGCATTCGTGCATAAAAAGCGAAATTCCTCAATAAATTCAATCATGGGCATCGATCGTGGAGGAGTTGGTGAAGCTGGTGGAGGTAGTGATGGACAGGGCTGTCACCGGCCTTCTCCCATGAATTCAAATTGGCCTGAAGTTTATGGCGTGGCTTTTTATCATGCCCAAGAAATAAACAGTTTGTTTTTAGTTTTAATGCTTTATAATATTATTGTTTGCAGAGTTGTCTTAGTATTTTAAGTGCCAATATTCACCATGGTCATGGCTGAGTGACCATTTGCTTCTCTAATTTCACAAACAAAAATATTGCTAAAGAAGAATTGGAGACTGCCACAACAGAACCAGAGACCACTATTTTAAATCTACTTAATCGAGTCGATTTTCACATGTGATTCATCATCAAAGCCAAGTGTTAACTTATATTTTCATTTAAGTTATTTGATAGTTAACCTTATAATAATAAATATATGTTCAATATGGTGGAGATGATTTGATTTCCCGAGCATTTGATTTCCATCTACAGCCGTAATTGAAGATTAGGAAATTGAAACCATTGAATTTTATGCTTCCACAAGAAGCCATTGAATTTTTTGTTGTAAGATTTAAATTGGCAGCACAAGATGAACAACCATCATAAATGTTGAGTTCTTGAAACGGTAAATCTATACAACCAAAGAAATCGTTTTTCCCAAGATGCAACAAATAGTTCATTCACCCAACTCTACTAAAACACAAATCAGAAAACCTAATTTCATCTTCTTACCTAATTTCATCTTCTTCCTGCGCCGCTCCATCTCTTTTCATTCTTCTCTCTTTGTTGCTATCAATTTCGTTTCGTTGTAATCTCAACCATCTAATATTCTCATCCTAACCTGTTAATTTATTTGTTTCAGACGTTCAAGCGTAAGAATGGTGGTCGCAACCAAGACCTCTGAATCTCAACAACATCAATAACCAACAACACCCGTTATAGATCTATAAAAGAATTTCCTTCAAATGCAATTTTTAACGTTAATTTGATTCATACATATGTAAGTGACGAAGGTGAGTGATTGAAACATGTGATTGAAAGTTGAAACTGAAATGTAGTTTGGAATATCATATTTTATGTTGTATTCTTTTTGTTTTCAGGGTTGTCTTACTATTTCTCCTTTTTCAAAAAAAAAGAAGCTTAACTTGACACCTAAAATGGGATATCTTTATCTTTAGGTTTGAGAGTTGCAGAAGGGGATTTTTGAGCTTGCATGTGACGAACAACACAACCATGATATTGTTTATTTTTTGCTGTTAGGTATGTTTTTTTTATTCAGATTTTATTTCTCAATTTTTTTAATTTTTTTAATTAAAATATGAGGTTGAGTTTTGGCTTTTTTTATTTGTTTAGTCTTGGTGAATACAAAGCTCACACATATATATTTACGATTGATTCTCCAAATAGATAGAAGCTTATTTCTTTTGCTTCCTCTTTCAATTTATTATTAATCTATTTAAATTTCAATTTCTCCCATCACATGTTTGATAAAAGAAGGCAGTATATTCTCATCAATTTTGTTGTTTATTTTGCTTACTATTATATTTATTTGTATCTAATTGAGATTTTTGTATTTATTTTCTTGATTTAATCGGTTCTTCTTTTGGAATATGTATGGATATGGAGGCTGATAATTGATTTCACACTTGAATCAGTAGGGGACCAATCAACAAATTGAATAACGGATTGTATCACAGTTTAATTTTTATACATTGATACGTAAAATGAAATTATGCTGATTGCGATTTGATTTTGTCATGTGAAAACAGGTTTAATATAGTCACAATCTGTCTTAACAAGGAATTATCAAACTTTACCTCATGGTCGATTCAAGCATCTGTTTTCGAGGTTGAAGATAGAGAGAGGATTAGTGGTTCGGCTTATGGGGGTCAACAGGACATCTGTTGCACCAATGATCTTCCTAAACTCACTGTGTGCAATGATGGACAGGGCTGTCACCGGCCTTCTCCCATGAATTCAAATTGGCCTGAAGTTTATGGCGTGGCTTTTTATCATGCCCAAGAAATAAACAGTTTGTTTTTAGTTTTAATGCTTTATAATATTATTGTTTGCAGAGTTGTCTTAGCATTTTAAGTGCCAATATTCACCATGGTCATGGCTGAGTGACCATTTGCTTCTCTAATTTCACGAACAAAAATATTGCTAAAGAAGAATTGGAGACTGCCACAACAGAACCAAAGACCACTATTTTAAATCTACTTAATCGAGTTGATTTTCACACGTGATTCATCATCAAAGCCAAGTGTTAACTTATATTTTCATTCAAGTTATTTGATAGTTAACCTTATAATAGTAAATATATGTTCAATATGGTGCAGATGATTTGATTTCCCGAGCATTTGATTTCCATCTACAGCCGTAATTGAAGATTAGGAAATTGAAACCATTGAATTTTATGCTTCCACAAGGAATATCAATGGCTTTCATTGGCAGGTACTGATTATATACTAATTGTATTTTCTGACAGATAGCAAATGCAAATGTCTCATTGCAATGTTTGGAGGAACTGTTTTTGGAAGAGGAACGAGATTTTGATGAACATGAGGATAGTCAAAGGGATGAGACTCTTATTCACCCGAAGTTCTAAAGTAATATGTTTTTAAGGGTTCAAGAGTAGCGGGTGTT